TCTCCGAAATACACGGAGGCAGACGCTAAAATGAACAATGGAGACGGCCGGCGCGCCGCTTGAGTCGCCGGTATCGTATCGCTCAAAAATCAAACGCGAGACGAGCTACGACAATCCGACTCGAATGCAATAGTCCCCCCCCCCGCCCCCGACACACACCTTCTTGGCACACAATCTAATAAAATCAAATACAGGGAATGCGTCACATGAATGTTGGAAACCATTTTCAAGTGATTGGTCTCTTTTTGTTTTCAAGAGGGGGTGTTTAGACTTTTTCTACCGCCTTGCGCTTTATAACTTGACCAACAAGTCAGCAGAGCTCAAAATACTTTTGACGCGCATATTACATCGGCGCGGCCGCCCCGCCCCTCCCCTCACGGGAGCTAATCTTTTAGCAGTGGGATCATCTGACCTAAAAATGACATCAATGGCGGATTTTTATCATATTCAGACAAGAGGAGGAAGATCAAATCAGAGGACGAACGAAGAAGCAGAGCCAATGTCCAGACGGCGTTTTTATAACCTTTGATTACACCGGGCTGCCGGGCCCCTCGCTATCGATCCGATCTTTCAAACTCATTTGAGGCCAGAGCCCGAGTCTATAACGGTGCCCCGCTAATGCAATATGGGACGCGCAGCCCCCCCTCGTTCGTCATAGTAACCTGACTTGGAGGAGTTAAATATAGCCGCTTCCGGTTTGGCGGAGGAGGGATTTCAGGCTCTATTCTTAGCTTGCCGCCCCGCGCATCAAAGCCGACGGACACGCGTGAAATCAATGTTGGCCGGGAAATAAATAATTGCTGAGGCGCGGGGACAGCGGGTGATAAATGGCCTTGTTGCAGAAATATTGCATCTTGACTAATAAATAGCAAGTGTTCATTTCATAACACGCCCCCCCACCCAATACACAAATATCTCATTTGATGAGATTTTTGCATCAGCCTCCCCCCGCACAAAACTATCAGGAAGCACCACTGCATATTTTGGAGTGCATGATTTCTGAGCGTGCTTGCGAATATGTTACTTGCATTCTTGCCAGTCGCAAAATTGTTGACTCTGCATTGCTTCCGTGGTATTTGACTTCGATGCTACGCTCCGCTGCTCGCACTGTGGGGCTCAGATGGTTTTGGGCATTTGCTTTGTCTCAATAACTGGATGTCACACACACAAACAAGCGGTGTACACAAGAGTGACACACAGGCGAGCAAACCTCTTTTTTTTTCCCCCGCTCTTCCCTCTTCTCCTGGTTCGTTGATGCCAAATTGAGTACAGGATAGCAATGTGTGTGTGTGTGTGTGTGTGTGTGTGTGTGTGTGTGTGTGTGTGTGTGTGTGTGTGTGTGTGTGTGTGTATACGTGTTGACAGATGATACGCTTAAAGCCGACGCCGCCCACACACACTCCCGGTGACAGAAGGTTTCATCACAAGGCCACCGACCTTTGTCCACTACAATCCACATGACAAAATAATACAAAACCAGTTTTGTCATGCTCACATTCAATTTATGTTCATCATTTAAAAAAAAAAAAAAAAAAAAGTTTAAATATTTTTTTGGTAAGCCACTGTGATATTCTGCAGTTTGAAGATTTCAGACAATTTGCGACGTTTTGATTGTCATTTATAATTCGGGAACATCTCTGCACCCCCCCGGTAGGAACGACAGGAAAATAAAACAGTAGATGAGCGAGGTTGATCTATTTCGGGGGTTGGTAATCTGCGCGCGACGGGGCGTCTTTTACGTCACCGTGATGCCGCTGGGCTACAAAGGGAACTCGACGGCAGAAATCAATAGACGGCGGGGCCTTTCCTAGCATGATGTCACATCACAGACCTCCACGGTATACATCATGTGGTGACCACATCCGGGCGCATTTGGGAAATAAAAATAAATAAATAAAAAATGGAAGCGGTTGACGTGGGTACGATGTTGCTGCCCGATGATTCTGACATTCGCATCCGCCCTTTGAGGTTTAAGGATGGAGGATGTGAGGACGGACCCGACGGATAAACCGAGCGTGGCGTGAGGTTCTGGCATCAAGAGCGGAGGCTAAGAATAAGAAGTGGAGCAATCCCCATGACGGGCGTAAAATAGAGCAAATGACCGCAAATGTCGGCGTCGTCATGGTCACGACTTCCTCGAGAGCCTTTGTGCCGCGATACACTCCGCTGGCTAATCTGTCGCACGAACAGAATATTCCACTTTACTATTATAAGGCTGCACCGTTGCTGCACAATGTTTTCAAAATTAAGAACCTGAAAACGGTTTCAGCATAACATTTGGTGGGCACGTCGTCGATCATACGTAGACCCACAAAAAAAGTCTGAAGAAGCCAGTTTCAGCGTGAAATTTGATAGGCACGTCGATCATAAGTCGACCCACAAAAAAGTCTCAAGAAGCCAGTTTCAGTGTTAAATTTGGTTAGGCACGTCGATCATAAGACGACCCACAAAAAAAGGATCAAGAAGCCAGCTTCAGCGTGAAATTTGGTTCGGCACATCGATCATAAGTAGACTCACAAAAAAAGTCTGAAGCAGCCAGTTTCAGCGTGAAATTTGGTAGGCACATCGATCATAAGTAGACCCACAAAAAGAAATCTAAAGAAGCTAGTTTCACCATGAAATTTGGTGGGCATGTCGATCATAAGTAGACTCACAAAAAAAGTCTCAAGAAGCCAGTTTCAGCATGAAATTTGGTCGGCACGTCGATCATAAGTAGACCCACAAAAAGAAATCTAAAGAAGCTAGTTTCACCATGAAATTTGGTGGGCATGTCGATCATAAGTAGACTCACAAAAAAAGTTTCAAGAAGCATGAAATTTGGTCGGCACGTCGATCATAAGTCGACCCACAAAAAAAGTCTCAAGAAGCCATTCCCGGTAAAACCACAGGGAGTCTGCTATTTTTATTTTTTTTTTTGTGCCCTGTACATAGCCGTATCGATCGACTCGTGACGTTACTCGTCCGAGCAAGTACGGCCGCCGCCATGCAGCATCAAGCAACGCTTCAAACAGAGCCCAGAGAGCAGCCTCATTCGCGTTCCCCACGGCCTGATGCGCACACAGTCGTTTTTTTGTAAGGGCCAAATGCGAGCCTTGTAAATCAAGCCTGTTGCACTTATTCAAGCAGCAATCACGGCGGGCATTCAGCGAGTGAATGAAAGCCATCTTCCTAATAAAGACAGAGCAGCGCATTATTTCTCGCTCTCCGGAGGGCACGCCGCGTCTCCAGCTTGATGAAAAGAACGCAGCTACCTTGGCAAATAAAGTGAGCTTCTTTTCTCTTTTTTTTTTTTTTTTCCGCTGCTGTCGTCACTCGATTATGTGGTGCCTTTTCAATAGACCTTTGTGAAGGCTGCGCTCTAATGCAGCATGCGTCGCTGCTTGAGAGCAAGGTCCATTGTGCGTGGGGTTTTTTTTTTTTGACAATAAGAAGGTGATGATCTGTCAACTATGGGGAGAGGAGTCGTGACCTCTCCCAAGGGCATTCGGGGGGAATTCATAAGCCTGCGTGGTGAAGGATGTGAAACACTTGACAAACATGACTCTCGATAAACAGTCGGTGGCGTGTGGCATTTTCTGTTTTTTTGACACATCCTGTCGATACTGGCTGTTTCTGGCTGGTTTTTTTTTTTTTTTTTTTTTTTTTTAACTGTCTTGTGCTACAATGAAAACTAAATAGGGAGGTGCCACGTTGATGACATAATTTCTGTGCTGCCCAAAGTTGGCAAGAGCGAGTGAAAGCGGCCGCGCTGCAACGCAAGTAATTGCCGGGATTAATCGTGGGAATAAGTGGACTGTTTCCATGGCAACCGCCGCAGGACCGGGGCCGGCCGGCGAGGGATTGATTGACGGCCGCGCGCGCCCCCCCGATGTTGCAAAGTGTAATTTAAGGAGCGATATTTGCGCGCCTCCTTCAGACTTTGTAGTAAACAGTAATTGATTGGTGATTACACGCTGGAATTGTTTTCTGTCATCAGCGAAGCAATTAATTAGATGACTAAAAGCCTCGAAGGATGGCTTGTTGGGCACAGGGTTTCATTACAAGCGAGACACAGCTCCGCCTCGGTTTTTCGGAGGGGAGTGTCAGACCACTGCGGGGGTCCCTCCATTTTCTGAATGACAAAATAACACACCCCAGTTCAAAAATAGGCATCGTCAGACGTGTATCGGAAAACATTTTGTGCATAAGATGACACATTGAAAGACGGTCAAAGCAGGCGGTGAGCGTCAAAACAAACAATGCAGTCCCCTCGTGTCTCTCGGGCTAATTGCTAATTTGCGTCAGGTCGCCAAGATGTCATTTTTCATGCTCGCATACAGTAAATGCCTTGCAGAGGGCGACAAGTTTAACACTCACGTAACCTTTGGACGACCTCTAGCATTCTGACTTTCAAGCACCTTATTCCCACCCCGACAGACACGAACCGGCCGATCATTGGTCATTTTAGTCGAATGTCACCCTTGCTTGAAGCCAACCTGCCTCGAAACAGGAAGTGTGAAGTTCTCACCTTCACCAACCCTCCCCAGGTGTCAAACACCTCACGCCCCGGCCGCTGTTTTGCCTCCGTGACTTGCGACGAACTTTCAATTAACGCGCACGCCAGGCAGAACGACATCCCCCAATAGCTAAATCAGCCTCGGCCGCGCCACAGTTCTCCAAATGTCACAAGCGAGGTGTTAGCTTCCCCCCGGGGACAATGAGCGGCGTTGGGTTTCGCGGGGAGACTTAGCGGCACCCAAACTTAGCACTGACTCCCTAAGGAAGGACATACCGCTGCATGTGTGCGTGCGGATATCCGCAGTAAAATTAGCTTGTTAACAACAGGATGATGTGCCATTGATGTAACTGGTAGGTTGGCGTCATGGCACGGTACATTTGACACATTTTGACAACGACTGTAGAACTGGAAGTTCTTATTTGGTCCTCCGAGCAGGTAGGGGGCAGCAGAACACAAACTTCCCAAGCATGAACTAACCAATGGAAATCGGATTCAACACTTACCCAGATGCGACTTCTTTAGTTCAGCTATGATGTGCTCCTATGGAAGAAAAAAGTAAGAAGTAAGTCTCATATTCTGATTAAAATGACTTGCTTTATTTATTTTATTTTTTTGGTGCTGCTTGAGATGAGAGAAACCGATTTACAACAAAAAAGGTGGACATACTGAAGACATGAATCCTACTTTTGCCGCCAAGATATTTCCTTTCATCGTCTGCAGTTCCCTCTCAACTCCACAGACCCCCGTTACATGAAACGAGTGGCGAGTCCGACCGAAATAGCGATTGCCTCATTTACTGCGCGGCCAGGAAGTCATCTTTAAGTTCCAAATAAGTGATCAGCGAGGCCCATCACAGAGAGCGACAGCAAGCGCAAACGTGAGGATGAAGGAAGCATTTTTTCCCCCTCCTCCGAGCTGCCGTGTTGTTACGAGGGAATAAAAGGAAAAAAAAAAATACTGACAATGAATCTTTTCCTGGATGGTGGTGGTGGGATTTGTATGGGGGGGGGTGCTAAAAATAACCCCAGTGTGTGCTTAGTGTGTTTACCGTGCTGAATGCAATCACAGTCAATCTTTCCTCTGACTCCAAATCACAACATTTGAGCACCCTTATTAAAAATCCCACCCCCCCAACGCTTGGACACACACAAGCGTGCCAGCGCTCATCACACACACTCCTCCGCAGGGCATTTCACCGCACACTCCCAAACGAGAAGAGACAGGTCCTCATGTTGGGACCGGAAGGCTGAGACAGAACCAAGAAAGCTCTTCGCTCCCTCTCGCGCTGCCCGACGCCATCGCTGGCGTGATTGTTTCCGTTACGCTATTTTGCAAAGACAACACGCGCACCTTTTCATGATGCGGCTGCGACGAGCGGGCGTGGATTCGGAGTGCCGCCGTGCGGTGGGCGCCGATACCTCCGCTGGGAGAGAAAAAGAGAGAGCGATTGATTTTCCACACAGTCGACAAAATGATTTTGTCATGCGGGGTAAATAGACAGCCTCCCATTCTCATTTATCCCTAACATATACACACACATAAACACACACACACACACACACGTGCACACGCATCCCCGCGGAGAGAGCGCTACCAGGCAACGCCACGCAAACACAACACGCATATGACTCACGCGTCGTGGCAGTGTGCCGCATTTCGGCTTCGGGAAATTGTGGAATGTAATAAACGATACAATACATCCTGGTGTGACAGGCTAATTATGTGAAATAACCAAAAAAAAAAAAAATGGTAGTATTGAGCGTAATATATACAATCGGTGATTCTCAAAGAGCAGTATGAGCACGAGTGGTGTGCGGGCTCGCCCTCTAGAGGTATGCAACGGAATAGCAGTTCAGTTGTATTTCACTTTGAAGTCGGTTTGCATCGAAACGTTCAGCGTCCCTCCATTTCAAATGAATAGGTTACAATGAGTGACTTGTTTTGATCGTTTCATTTGGATGGATTATTATTTGACAAAAAAATGTGATCATATTAAAACTGTGTAATAATATGATGGCGAAAGTCATCGTCCACTTATATTTGAGTTGAAAACATGTTTCAATGTAGAATACGGAAGGTACGATACATATAAATGACAATTTTAAAAATATACATATAATTCGGAAAGTGCACAGTGACTTTCGGAATTTACGATTAATTTCCGATTCCATACACTGTACTTCTGACCAGTGGCTGTATTTATTTTCTTTTTCGCGAAAAAAAAACAAAACAAAGTAAGCCAAGTGTTTGTTCATGGAAGTTTGTGATTTTGAGAGGCTGCACACACAAATGATCACTTGTTTAATGACCTTTTGTGCCAATATGGGGAAATTAATGAGCCGTGACATTCAATTATACGCCGGCGCCTCCAATCACGGCGGCACTTTGGAGAAACAAATACGGCGAACGCTTGAGAAGGACTTGCTTGTTTATGAGTGTCTCTTTGGCAGGGGGGGGGGGCATATCATTTGCATAATCATGAATAGCAGATACGGTTGTCAGGGGAGACGCACGGGAGAGAGAGAAAACGAGCGAATGCTGCAGTGATGAGCAAACCGCAGAGCATTCCGCAGCACAAGTGGGACGACCGGTTTTTGAATGGGGTTTCGCGGAGTTTCAATGCACAACTGAAAGCGAATACAGGAGGAAAAATAAATTTACGTTCGCCTCACAGCAGCACGCCGAAGTCATTTTGTTGGCATAGCCCAAAAAAATAATAATATTGTCTTGAAGTCCAGCGGCGTTTTGAATTTGCACTTCAGGTGGACGTTTTTAGAAATATTTTAATGATGGGGGTGAACATTTTTTTCAAAAAATGATGTGACAATTTTGTGCAGAACCTTTTTTTTTTTGATTAACTGAATTTTTTTTTTAATTCTGAGATTTTTTTTTTTGCATCGCAAAAAACTGAATTGTTACTGAATCATATTTAACCTTATTGTAGAAAATAAATTTTAAAAAACATAAGACAGTCGAGTCACATTTAACATAAAATATATTAATAACGTACCTTGTCTATTTTTAACGTTCAGTTTAAAAAAAATGTTGCAAAAATAAAAACACTTCTGAGTCACGCAACTTTATTTGTTGCTCACTGTTCCCACCGTGTGGCAGAAAGTAGTCTTGCAGGTCAGGGCACAGCCCAAGCTAACGTCACGGCACAAAAACACCCTAACAACTTTTGACTGTGATTTTTGGCTGATACTTCCCCTGTTTCCCTGTGGCGCTTGAATTGCTATTGTCAGAGTGCTCTCGGCCACTCGCTGTCTTTGCGCCGCGCCGCCACGTTGTTTCGCCGTCCCTCAGATGCCCTCCTCTCCCATCTGTGTCATCGCCCGCCCACGCCGCGTCAACCTGCCTCCCTCAGACAGCTCATTCCCTCGGCCTCAGCCAGCCTCCCACGGCCATGTTCCCCGTGGCTCAATAAAAATTGTTTTTAAAAAACACTCCTGAAAACTGGACGGATAAGATGAACGCCCCTCTGCGTGGTGCCAGAAGGCCCATCGTTTTTCCCCGCAAAGAGCATGATGACAATTGTGTTTTTTGTTTTTTTCTGTGCTGCCACTTTGCCATTTTTTTTTTCTCCAGGCGGCGAGACAGTGAGTCATGCTTCACCGCTGAGAATTTAGCAAAAATCAATTCTCTTTTTTTTTTTCTTCACTTCTCTCTCGCTTCTTGGGCACAGTGAGGCAGCGATGGGATAATCGATTGCACCGCCTTTGTCCTGCATCTGATTGTCGTCCATAGTTTAGAATATAAGCTTCTATTTTTAAAAATCCACACGACTGTCTCAGAAATTGGACGATACAAAATGGCGCTGAAAAAAACTCTATTATGTTTTCTAGAGTGCTCAGTTACCCTCTAGTGGTCTAAAGTGGAATTGCAAGGTGGGGCAGTGACCCAAGCTAATACAGATTTCTATTTATGTTGATTCTTGTGCATATTTATTGGAAATTTTGGGGGGGAAATAATTTATTAATCTCAAAGAAATCAGTCGTGAGGAATTTAGAGAGATAAAAATAAAAATGTTTGAGTCAACAGGTTTCGGCCAGAAGCCAAGGCCAAATTAGGTCAAGAAAAATGGGGTGTCTTTCAACTAAACGGAACCAACGTACTTTCTAACGTGCTAACAGCATCAGTGGGCCGATGAAAAATTGCGAGCTAGCTATCAGAAATTTCTGTTGTGATTTGGATTGTGACTGAAATTTTATGAAAGCGTCTTGGGAGAAGTGGACACGCTGAGCTCACATTGGCATGCCTGCGACGGAATACAAGCGGCAGGACAGCGTGTGACTTGTAGCGCGCTGGGTGACAAATAGTTGACAGGCCTCGTGTCTGGTGGCAGGTGTTGGATTGGTGGTGGCGGGGGTTCGTGCTCGTATTGTCCTTGGCGCTCTGCGCCGTATCGATCTGCTTCACTCTTATTTAGCCGCTGCCAAAAACTCGCAGCCCCGCATCGACTTGAGATTATTACACCTCGGTTTTGCCACGGCCGACGTCCTCGCAGGCGGCGGCGTCTTTATCACAACTTGGTCACTCGTTGCTGGGGACTTTTTTTTTTTTAATGAGGAGATTGTTTCAGAACTTTTGAGGCCAAATGCCTGTTAATTGAAAAAAGGGAAATCACATTATGGGTGACAGCAAAGGGGTCCTGAAGCTTTCGGGGGGTTAAGTTAAAAAAAAAAAAAAACAATTTGTTCATTTTCATCACATGGAAGCAAAATGGAATCGCTGGCCTGGAGGTGTTGAATCAAACCATGACAGGGTGTCATTAACTGCTGCTTGGCGTATTTCAAAGAGCCACTTAGAATGTGAAATATCCCAGCTATGAATCATCATGCACTTCAAAACAACGCTAGCATATCCATGGTCAGGTTTTGGTTGGATTGTTTTTTGGTTTTTTTTTGTAAAAAATATAAATAAATAAATAAATATTACAAATAAAATAAAAAATAAAAACTGACTGACCAATTTTTTTGGGTGGAGGGATGGATCTGTTTGCTGTTTGTTTTCACTATAATGTAATCATTTTATCCATGCATCGTCTATCCTCTTGACTCAATTCAATGGATATTCTGCTGCTTCATGGGTGTGCGTCTTGGCCACCAGGGAGCAGTCTAATACAGACAGAAAGATGGAGACGTCTCAGCTTCCCACTAAGCCGAAGTAACACTGGTCGTTCTTGCCAGGATAATACGGTGCACTACAGGAGACAACAATCACGAGACGTGGTGTTAGATACAAACGAAAATTGCTTGTGCAGGTGTACCTAATGTTATGGCTCTGAGGATGCAGTTGGCATGTTGGACATTTTTTGGACCCTGGTCCATTTTTAGCTCAAACGACGGCATTGTTGCTGTCCTGTGCTGATGCAATGTGACTACTCAGGTAGATATGTGTGGTTTTTTTTTTGGGGGGGGTTTAAATCGACAGTGGCCTCAGATGGCATCTCCGCCTAATTAGAGGCCGAGAGGGTACAAGGTCAAGATCAAAGGTCAGAGGGGTTTACAGGGGTAACGTAACACGCACACCCACTACCCCCGCATACGCACCTGAGCCACACGGCGTAGGCGCGTCAAAGATGGCTGCCGACTTTTTCCTGGCGCGGGCTCGGAGCTGCTGGCTCGGCGCTCAGGTAACGGCCAGCTGCTGTTTACTCGCCGCCGCCCTCGACAACATTTGACAATGACACAGCTGCCTGCGCTGCTGTGCCGAAACGCAGAAAAACACACAATTGCTCGTTAGCGGTCCCACAAATGTATATGTAATTACCAGCAGTTTTGGTTGACTCATTTGATTGGATGAAAGAGGCAAAGTATTAGAAACAGCTCTAGAAAAGCATGGATTGCGACATACAATACTGCTGACTAATGTTGCTGCTGTTCACCATTTTTATTTTACATATTCAATCTCAATTGCTCATACGGGTTGACATATTTCTTGACACGTAGTAGTTTTGCTAAATGCAATACTTTTTTTTATAGCTACACAAACAATTGTGCTCTATAATATATCTGCATAATAGTATGCATCATCGCTAATGATGATTTGTACTCCTGTGTTCTGAGAAAGCTTATTCTGAAAAAAATGGGACAAGGAGAAGAAGGGGCTGTTACCTCTGAGGGAGTTGACCCTTCCTGTCGTCCCGGCTCATTAGTCAAGAAGGGTCCGAGGGACGCTTGTGCCACATCTATTTCCGTCCTCATCCCCCTCTATTTTGGCCTCTGCAGAAACATGGACGGGGAGGTTTGTGACAATAGGAAGTGGCATTTCTTTAACTGTGTCAAGGACGTGAGATGCATTGCGGTTCTCGGCGCTGGAATTAGACGAGGGGTGGCTGCCATGGTAACCATTCAACTAATTGATCTATGCATGGCGAGAGTAAACGATCGTTAGTAACACGACAAACGAGACACCTGGGCCAGGACCAATCCCAAATTGATGGATGGTGTGGCAGCTTTGCAGGAACGTTCATTAATCCTGCACTGATGGTCCCGTCCAAGTGTCTAAACGCACGTACACGCAGTTGGATGCATGCGTGTGAAGCTTGAGGTTTAAATTGCTGGCTGTCAGCGTTCGAAGCTGCACGCCGCCAATAAAGGCCAGCAACCGGCGGTGACGTCACTCCAATTACAGGTCACCAGATTGACAATTCCACACGTGAAGCTTCAGATCAGGCATTAGAGGGTTCACAACGACTGAAAATAGAGTACTTACATGGAATATTGCTGTCCAGCAGCCGTGGAATTACGTCTGAAAGCCACGTGAGAGGTGGCTGCTCTTTCGCGAGACGTTATCGCCATCATGCGGTACTTTGGTGTACTATAGGGGCCGAATGCTAATGCCTTCATGTGAGATGTACCCCATTCACTCAAGATTTTAAACTACAGCAAGCACATGTAACTGTGCAATAGTTTGGGTATTTTTGTAATTTATCCACCAATTTGATGTCAATTCCCCAAATCTTTGCAGCTATTGCTTTATGCTAGTATGATGTCAGACAGCTCATTTTATTTTGTGGGTGAATGACTGCTTGCGAAATGATGATTTATAAAGCTGTTTCATTCTTCCCAATGTGCATTTTCTAAATTGTTCAAGCTTGAACAAGACGATTTTTTTTAAACTCCTTGTTTATTTTTGCCATTGTTTACATGACCGATGCAGATGTCCTGGAACTGTGAGGACCAACATGGTTCCTCACCTGATTAATGGTCTGCTGCCTATTGCCATTATTTTGGCATGAAACAAGTCAAAAGTCCACTTTATTGTCAAATGTGCTCTATGTGCAAAACAGCAGAGATGAAATTTCTCTCCTCTCAACCACAGGAGAGCGAGGAGCCGCTGCAGGTGCCCGTCCATCAGCAGTACAGTGAACATAAAATGACAAATACAACACAACACATAGAAAGTCGGGCAATCTGAACCACTTTTTCTGCATAGACTTTGTTTGAACCAGTGATAGATGAAAAAGCGATTCAAAGTGTCCTTTCACCAGTGTATCAAAGAAATGCTGAAAATGTGCATACATCTGCTACAAGCCAAGTTTGAAAGCAAACAAGAAGAAAACAGAAAGTTTCAGTATAAATCATGTGCTTTTATTTTGGACAAACTGCACACTCATGATAAATGACGATTAACATTGCTCCACGCTACGTGCATTTACAGAATAAACATGATCCATAGCCGATCCGCGACTCTCGTAATCGAGCTCAGACAAAAAAAAATGTCTTCGATTGCATTAATGTCACCTTTCAGGAGATCCTGGGTCTCCCGCAGCAGAGCCTGCGGTCCCCGGTGGGCAGACAGGCAGGGCTGACCTGGAAAACGCTCACAGTGACAGAGGGTTGCATGGCACCATTGAAGGACAAAGCAGTGCAACAATACCTGCCCTTTTGCTGCTTGGTTACCTGACTTTTCAAGCAGTGGCCACACCGCCAGCTCAGGTGCCTTTTGCTCCGCTCGCTCGTCGAGAGAGGCCGGGGCGGCGGGAGGCTTTTTCTGGGGGAATAGCACTCCCTTACTGGGCGCTCACTGCGAGAAAAATACACCCCATGAATCGTGCGACAACGACAATTGACATAGGCTGCATCGCTTTTGTTCAATTCGGTCCAACAAAAGGTGCAAATGCAGTATTCACACCTTTTCCGAGGGGGGAAAAGTTGCTGCTTCGTCATTCCGTCCTGGGTGCTACCAACACGGGCCAAACATTTCCTCAAAGTCCTTATGTTGGAAAGCAAGACAATTGTCATAATTATCAGAATCCAACGCTGTGTACACACTGCTGGGTGAAAGGCATTCGCCGTAAAGAAGAGACGAAGTACCGGGCGCAGGAGTTTCGTTCTCGCGATTTTTGCTACTCGTCGCCATGTTGTCTTCATGCTCGCTTATCAAGTACTGCGTCGTGTTCTCCGGCGCCATTGCTCCCGGGTGAAGTCGCCGAGCACAGGCCGCAACTCGTCTCTCCTCTCTCGTCTCCACTTTATAAGGGCCGTTGGTCAACTTTCGACGACGGTCCCGTCCCTGGCGCTTCCTGGTAACCGTGGACTTGACACCGGCGGCGCTCCGTCGGCACTGTCCGAAGGCCTCGTCCTCCTCTGCGGCCACGCGAAGTTGAGTCCACCGTAGTTTGGTTGCAGGCTTCAAGGTTACCCGCACGGCGTCCATGTGTTTAGAATTGGTCATATCCATTGACGCGATATACATTTCAAAACTTGCGGGGCTCAAATCAAAATAATAAAAATGTGAGGTTTTTAGGTGAAAAAAATCGGATATTTAAGCAAGTCGTCCAACACGACGTGTCCGCGTAACTAGAACGTCGACTGTGAGGCTGACGCACGTCGCTTTTATTCAAAGCATTTACCCATCATGCATTGCCTTAGTCGCCTTTATGGCGTTACTGCCACCAAGTGGAGCGGAGTAACGTCACCCTTTCCAAGATACCCAAACGAATCGTAAGTGGAACAGATTCTACATATTGATGTAACCCGGGTAGGGCAAAGTGAAACCTGATGAACCAATGAGACATTGTCTCTCAATGGTTCAGTACTCGATGTTTCATTCATTTAGCTCTGTACACAGTAAACTGCAACTAAACCGAACGGGTGAATCTCAATTATTTATCTGTGGACACTTTCTGTTCTTATGTGCCACTAGATGGCAGTGTCTGCTCATAAAAGGAGGCCACCTTTTAAGGCGACAATGTGTGACACAAGGGGGCAATAAACAGCTAGTGCTGGGCCTGCAAATTCTCTGCAAAGAAAGTCCACTTTGCCCCTATACGTCCTCTGGTTGTGCATGTGTGGTGCCATTGTTCTCCTCTTTTAAGGCAGCAGGATGAGGAAGCAAAAGTAACACACGGTCTGAAAACAGTCCTTTGACGACTTGTTTAGGGTATTTAAAGCCACATGTGAGCTCTTATTGGTGCAAATAAATATGATTCATCGAGGTTGTTGACAGCCCATTGTCTGCGCCTTGATTAAGTAGCCACACTGCAATCAATAGACTCTTAATGATGTACCCTCATGAAATGAAGCGGTGGCTGATGTACCACATAGAAGGAAACCAGCAAAGTGCTCCGTTGTGTCCCTGAAACTCACACTTGATGTGTAAACGTGTGGCTTGAGTGCGACTCGCGAGATAATGACGGTAGCTGGGCACAGTTCAAGTTTCCTCTGCAGTGCGGCGGCTCGCTAGGGGTGAGGGAGGCGGCCAGAGAGAGAGAGTGAGAGAGAAATGGCACCAGGCCCAAGGGCATCATCCCAAAAAGACACCATTCAGTCAGCCAGTTGCAAGTTCGCACTAGCCCGAATGGATGCGTCGCTTCATGTGCGTGTCGGGATAAAACTGGAAGCCTTCACGGCCTGCATGGGACCTTGTCACGTGATGCTTGACCTCGAGAGAAATATTTGACTATGTCATTTCCGCATGTACCAATCTAGTTCGTGCTAAATTCCTTCTGCGGAACCTCTCCGTCCTTTCTCTGCTGTGTGTGGCAGCTCCTCGAATTCTGCCTAGCAACAACTTTTTTGTTTCGAGATGACTCATGTTATTTAAAAAAAAAAAAAAAAGAAGGCTTCCCTTCCACCGGAATGCATGCTGGATTTCATCAACAGCAGAAAGTGAGTGAGACCATGCCCATCGGCAGGAAGCTTCTGATTCCGCAAATGTGAAAAGCAGATGAAACATCCGCACAGCTGATTTGAAATGCTCTTGCACATTTTCTTCTGGCATCTTAAGTGGGCACAAATCTGCTATCTGTGTGCACGCTTATGTGTGTGTTTTGAAACACACACCATTGTGCCGTGACCCTAACTCGAGCGGGATGTGTCTAATGAGCTCTATAAATATCTTGAAGGAGACCTGCAACCTGCAGACACTCACGGACACAAAGACGGATGCACTTTTCTTAGGCATTATTGTGGTGAAACGAGAGAGAACAATTCAAATTCTGTGTGCTATGGCTTCTTGAGAATTTATTATTTTTTTTTGGTGCGTCCAGTCATGAGAGACACGCCGACCAAATTTTGTTTGGTCAAACTCACTGCCACCAAAATCACCGTACAATGCCAGTTTCAAACCAAAATGGCAGACTTCCTGCATGTTTCAGCAAATTGGTTCTGGAGGGTTTTTTTGTGGGCCACCTCATGATAGACATGCTGACCAAATTTATGTCGCAAAGTGAAACCAGCTTCAGGTGCAGTCTTATTTATTATTCTTAATCCACGGGGGCACTACTGGGGCTATTTTCAAGGTCACATGACTCTAATTTGCGGCATGAATAATCCAATTCCTAGTCTGCGCAACGCATGACTACTCACGCATCAATTTTGCGCCGAATTGACCAGGTCAAATCAGTGTAACACCCCAATCTTTCTTATTGGGTTGACATGCAAAGGTAATTTCTCAGACCAGAGAACAAGGGTCCTGTTCACCTTTGGTGCCAGATGACATAGCAGCGGATTTCCCATGACGAGAAACTGTCAAGCCAAATGTTGCCAGTCTGCAAGAAAACGTGCAGACGGCAGGAAGGCAAACGGGAATCTGCAAAGACATTTCCCCCTCGAGAGAACTGGGGGACTTTTTGTTCCGGAGAGAACTGTTGACAGCCCCTCTGGCCTCCCCCCCATTTCCTTTCTGGACTCGTGCACCAACTTGACTCCATCCTAGCTGCTCCAAACATAAATAGGTTGATATTTTGCACAAAGGATGTCGGAAACTACGATCAAGGTTACTGCCTTCTAAACGAACCCTCCACGCTAAGCTCCTTTTTTGGAAATCACCCAAGAGGCATTCCGGCGGCCGCTCGAGCCCTCTATTTCTCCTCCTCCCGTTGGCTGTGTGGTAAATTATGAATTCGCCGAGAGGGGAGGGTGGGGGGTGGCACAGTCACTCGGATACAAGACTTCTGTGTCTTTTTTTTCCCTCATATGGGAGCATGTGACCTCATCCTCTGTGAACACAATGTTACAATTTAATCTGTTGAAAAAATATAGTGATTCAATTTAGATGTAATGATAACACGATATTAGATTATGGCTGGACAAATGCACGAACAACATCCCCCCATCTGATAATATCCCTCCTGTGAGTCTTCTCCCACTACGCTAGGGAGGTGTAGGGGGGCCATAACTCAGTAATTGGCCCATGGGGGTTGTGGGGGTCGGTGGTAATCAGATGACGTTTGGGAAAACGGATGCATTTGAATGTCTCGCGGGCCTCTTTTTGAGGTTACAATTTTTGTCAGTGTGGAGTATTGAAGCTAGCATTGCTCCAACCACCGACTCTGCTTTAGTGGCAAGTGGTGAGCAATTCTTCAAAACAAAGAAGCTTTCAAGGTGTTTTTTTTTTTTGCAACTCCCGGCTCAAAGTTTCCTGTCAAACTAAAGAGAACACAAAAAAATACTAGAAAACAACTGCACGGCTTTCCCTTTCAGCCAGCTAGCTTAATGCTAATGCTGTCACCCTAATAGCAACGGATTCAACACAAATGACAATAATGTAACAGCGCTCAGTCGTGTGTTCTTCATCCTCTGCCAAGGATGACAAATATTAGTGTCGTACCGATGAGCTGAAAGGAGGTTGAGAATGATCATTCCCATCTGGATACGCCCAATAACATGAGCGATATCATATGAGACAAGAAGCAGCAGTCAGTGGCAGGCCTACGCTACAAAATGAAGCTTTAATCTAAATCCAGAGCGGTAAATCACATCACATTTCCCTTCAAATCCCAACTGCCTCTCAGTAACAAATAGGATGGAACGAGCACATTTTTAAAAAAAACAAAAAGGTTTCATGAATCAACAAAGCAAGTGTCATCCACCAGCGCGCACCTTTACACAATTTACATCTTGTTCAATAAGTTAACAGAGATCATGTCATCAGGCTGATCAACAGCGCCCAGAAATCGAATTATCTATTCGTATCGATTTTTGTTTTTTTTTAAAAGGCACTCAACCTTCATTCTTGACCAAGAAATCATAAAGGAGAACTAAAGAGAGAATGGCACATTCTTGTACAAAACAACATCAAGTCAGCAGTCCTATCAGTTGCACTCTTTGATCCGCAAGCTGCTCTGACACTTTTTTTTTTTTTTTTGGCCCCTTGTGCACGTGCGCCAAATCACATTTCTAATACGAAAACAACTGCGCACCAAATGAGTGTGAAATCCATACATGGCGGCTCCGCTTTCACAGAACGGAACTTTGTGCTTTTGGTGAAAAAGTTTCATCGTGTACGTGGAACTGACGCTTCCTCGTGGATCCTGAGCAAAAACAACAGCAAAAGGTAGTTCCCTTTTTTGGGGGTGGGGTGGGTGGGTGATTGGCTAATGGCTCCCAAAAAGCCAATTTAATGTGGCATCCAGACAAAAAAAAAAAAAAAAAAAAATGCAAGGACAATTTCGAGTCTTCAGTGGACCTAGCATGCATGTTTATGAAATGCGAGAGCTAAAAACCCCACGCGAGCACCCGGTGGGAAAGACGGGATTTGAACCCGGAACCTCAAAACTGCGAGGCAGACATGCTCACCGCTCGTGTGGCACCGCAGAGAGCCATTGGGGCATTTATTTGAGATCCTACTAGCGCGTGTATGCTCTTTGTTGTCACTTGTAAAAAAAAAAAAAAATAAAAAAAAGGCAGCCTAGTAAAACAACTCCGAGTGGTTAGTGAGGAAAAAAGTGCACAAGAAGACAACTGCGTGCTACTAGTGGCATCATAAAACACTACGAGTTAACTTTGGATGCTTCACTAGTAGTGTACAGATGTTAATTAGTGCATAGTCCCCCCCGCCACTGGTAAGGTAGTAGTTGTACTAATGCCCAATCTACTAGTGCGCAGAAAATGTCAGACAGTAATGGAAGTCAGTAGTGGGGAAAAAAATAGAGTCATTCTCCTAATGTGCCGAAATATCATAGTCGTTAAAATGGGATGTGTCAGGAAGGAGTGAGGAAAAAAAAAAAAAAAACACCACCAGGAAGATAGCGTCATTCTACTAGTGCGCAGAAATATTATACAGTATGGAATGAAAGAGTGAAGAAAAAAAGCGTCGTGAGGAAGAGATAGTCCTGCTCTACTCGTATGCCGTAGTTGTTCGACTAGTGCGCAGGAATGTTATGCATTTGTGAAATGAGTCGTTCCACTAGTACGTTTTTTTTTTTTTTTTTTTGTGGTCAATGTCGATTCCGATATATTTGGCAGAATAAAATTCCGATTATTCGTCCGATTGATTAAAAAAAAAAAAAAAAAACAGGTACTGACTAATAGAACTTATTTTTTGGTCCCTTAACGCTGACAACATTTAAGATATGAATTAAATCACTTTAGTGTTTAACTTTACAGCAGAGTGAGGAATCTGCAAAGATCAGCCCCCCCGGGAGGGAATGTTTGACTGTCCTTTGTTTTCGACAGCAAATATCAGTTGATTATATCGGCCGGCCGATGAACCGCTTGGACCCTACGTTGTCTTACTCATGAAAACAAAGTTCACACTAGTACATGGGACAGTGCGACGCACTAGTAGGATCCTCAATAAGCGCGCAAACGTCCCTCCAAAAGCCACTGTGCTTCCTCCTCATCCCGATAGTCATCCGGGGGAGTTCGCGATTCCCGAAGCTCCTCCTCCCCGGCTTCTGCTGGACAACTGAGAGTTCGTTAATGGCCACGTCGGCAACGTCTGTTAGGAAGATCGAGTAAGAACACCCCAGTCCTCGCTAGTCCCATGAGGGCGGCATGAATATTCGGTGCCGGGAGAGCAGCCACTTAATCGCAGCGTCCCAGATTAACGCGCAGAGTCCCGCTCTTGTGCAGCTCCCACAGCTGCACGAACTCTTCGGACATGGCGTGGAACCAGCGGAAGGGCTGCATGTCGTCGTAGTAGTGGTGGCTGATGGGTCGCTGGGCAAGGTCCGAGGGGAAGGGCCAGAAACCGTAGACGCTCACCTCGTCGCACAGGCCAAGCGCCAGGCTGACTATGAATAGGCCCGTGGAGAGGCGCCGGGCGTGCACGCCGCGTGCCTTCCAGAACCGGCCCACGCTGCGCAGGAAGGCGGGGTTGGCGAAGAGCATGGTGAGGTCGGACGAGGAGTCGGCCAGCGCGTAGGTGGCGCGCAGCGACGGGTCGGTGCTGGGACGCATGGAGAACGCCGGCATGTAAACGAAGCCGGTCCCGTACGCTTTCATGCTGTCCACGAAGGCCTTGCGGGACCACAACAGGTTCTGGAATCTGAGGGGACAATTCATTAGGTACACCGGCGCAACCTACTGGGGTGACGTCCTGCATCCAAATTGCGTGTGCGCACACAGAGAATCAACTGGGTGACAATTTTACGTTCAACGAACTTTACAAAACTATTTGCAGGCTATTTAGTAGTAGTAGTATTTAGTAGTGTGCGTGCTATGCTTCTGTGTGTGTCCACTTCAATTTATTCATTAAAATAATCTTTGATCTCCCTTTGTTTTAGATTTAACGTGACACTTGGATCATCGTGGGTCTGATGCGCGCTCACCTCTTCTCAATGATGCTCGGGTTGGCCGTCACCAGGTGGGTTTTGGTGCCAACGTCCTCCACGTATTCCTTGGAGAGCGGCGGGAGGTTACACCTGCACCGGCCCAAAAAAAAAAATAATAATAATAATAATCACGATAATTAAACTACAATCCCTTGTGTTGCATGACATCAACATTCGTATAAATGACAACTGAACATGCGCCACAACTGGTTTGGGTGAGTCATGCGAACTGAGTCGTTAGGTCACACTCGCACGACTTGTTGGGCCAGGGTTTTTCTTGGCTGAAGTTGAAGCATGGGAGGTACGGTTCTAACCGGCACGAGTATTAAGCATGACCTCATTGGTATGTTTCAGTCTTATCACGAGATGCCATCATTTGGTTTAATTCGGACGCGGTGACGTTTTTAATTTTTTATTGTTTTGGCGTGGCTACGCAAAGTAACCGCCGCCACGCTGGGATTCAGTTAAATAACTGGAGCAGCGAGTCGAACCGGAGTTTCTCCGCCGGCAAAGTCGGCCAAAACGGTTTGGAAGACGGCGGCGGGAGTCACCTCATGACAAAGTCGGCCCGGTCGATGTCACGGCCGCACTGGCTGTGCCGCAGGATGCCGCCGTTGCCCACCACTGCACACTTCTTCAGGGGGAGCGACAGAGGGTTAGACTGCGGGAGAGTAGAGGCGGAAAAAATGAACAATAAATGGTACCAAATTGATTTCATTGAATTCATTTTTGGGTTAATTGAAAGTTTTATTTTCACAGTTGTCTGCCGCATTTAACAATTTAGTAGGATTCTGGACAAAAAGTAATATACGTTATGTTGCGTTCGTGTTAAAACACTTTTGTAGAAATGTGTGAATTTTTTGACACATTGGTGTGTTTTGGTTGGTTAAACGCAAACTGACAGTTACACAAACACACACCTGTACTTCCTTCTTGTAGTGCCTGATGAAGCGTATGTATGTGCTCATTTTCCTGGAACGTTTATGACATGACAACATCCTCATCAAACACTTGCGGCAGCCAAGTATGTCCACACTGTTTTAAATATGGAGTAGTCTTAAAAAAATAAAAATAAAATCAACAGACTCCAGCCGAAGCAAAAAAATGAAACACAACATAGCTGGGCCTCGCAACTAGCTTAAGCACCTTAGCATAAACCAAACAAATTAGCAAACTAAAACCGTTCTATTGCTATTTTTTTTTTTTTTGGTTTCAAAAGACACAGAACGCTCAATAAATGTTCCACTCCAGTCCTGTTGGTGGCAGTAATGTGTTTTACGGATTCACGACCACTTGAGTGAAGGTTCTCTCAATTTTTTTTGTTTTTGTTTTTTTTTAACCAAAACAACAACTATACTATGTGAACTGATAAGCATAACACGTTAAAAAAGCAGCAGTAAAGCATTTTCTGTGGTATTCTGCAAAACCTTCCATCCTGCTGTATGCTTTCCTTAGCTAATGCCCAAATACGATAAGAGCGCTTGGAATGGACGCTCATCTGTGCTGTGAGCATTAAATTGCAGCTCTTGAGGAAGAAAAAAAAAAACAAAAACGACAGCCTGCGTGTGCATCTAAAGTAGCAAAACAGGCCTGTAAATGAAGCACTAAAAATAGACGCACGGCGCAAAGTCACGCTGTAAAGCAGAAAAATGCGCAATGGAATGGGGGGCGGGGGGTATGTAAATTGGGCGCTCTCTGCTCCCAGAAACATTCCTCAGATCTCTTGCAACGGTTACTCATGTGTGTGTGTTTTTTGTTTTTTGTTTTTAATGTGGAGAAAAGCTACAACTCCTTGCAATTGACATTCCAAAACAACAGAGGGCAGTGTGCTATTTTTTTAGTTTTTTTTTTTACAATTTGGGAATGCTACAGAAATATAGTGCATCTGCTTCACTTTTGCTATATTAAATGTTTTTTTTAACCTAAACATTCTACAAACAACACATAATGCCAATGTGAACATGCTAATTTATTTTAAAAAATCCATTAAAATAAAAACGCAAGTTTTTACACTCTTTACCATGTTAACTGTGAAGTGCTGCAAAATAAATGGAAAATAGTACCATTTAAACTTAAGATACTGCTATGCTTTTGTACAATTTCCTCCTCAACCTTCTAATAGCCCCCAGCGTTACCTCTCGAAGGTTCAGCATGGCCACTCTGCTTCTATTATGCCTTTTTCTATTCACCTCCCCCTTCATGAATGTGCATGCACAGCTCGCGCCTGCAAATTAGGGTCAGATATTCATCTCATCCCCCCACTCCCCTTCTTCTCCAGCAGGATATTAACGCGGCGCTCCGAGGCCTTGGTCATTGTCTGAATTATTAGAGCAAGCCCAAAACACCTCCAGAAGAAGGAAGCCTAATTTGGTTAAAAAACAAAACAAAAAAAAAGACAAAACAAAACATCCGTATCATAGACCCACAGCAGCGTGCACGAAAAAACAAAAACAGTCCCCGCCTCTTCTTTGCTCACCTGCACAAACAACGAGTGGGTCTCGTTGTTGACCGTGTGCGAGTGGTAGAACTCGCCGTCGTACCACAGCACCTTGCCCACCGGCGCGTTCTCCTTGGTCAGCGCGAACAGATGTTGTGGGTCGCAGCAGTCGCTCAGCAGCTTCCTGGGAGAAGCAAACCAAAACCGGCTCACGTGTTGCCATTGAATGCAACTCCAAAAATATTTGGGGTTCTAATGCAAATATACACGTGCACACGCGTATCCGATCCAATACGCACCTACAAACATAATTTAACAGTGCACGAATATGGCGTCAACGTTCAAAAGATATACTGTATACAGTTGAAAGCACTGTAAAACATTGAGTCAGATTTGTGTTGATGCAATTTTTCTGCTGCTCTGTGACACTCACACCGTGAAATGAATTGGACATTTTCCTTTTCAAATTAAGAGCACATTTTTGGTCAAATGAAAGAACTAGTGGACTCCTGCCAATTGTGCACGTTGTAAATTACAATTTGTACACAGTCTCTACTGAAGGGAAGGGATGTGTGTGTGCCTGTGTGTACGCGCGCTGGCGCGTGCTCGTGCGTACCTGTAAAGGTCGATGCCAGTCTGGTTCTTCTTCCACACGTGGCCCTGCTGCCTCAGCACCTCTTCCACGATGTCCTTGTCCCGGGGCACCCGGTACACGGGGAATACGTAGTACCAGCCCAGCACCAGCACGCACAGGGCGGCCCACGCCGACAGCTTGGCCCGGTAGCACCACCGCATCAACATCCTCCCCGCTTTGTCTGTCTCCCCACGCCGCCTGTCAGACGCTTATAACGAGCGGAGCGCCGGAACGGAGCCTCCGCCTCATGCCGAACACACGCGGGGCGGAGTGTGGCAGTCAGGGGCGGACGGGTCGGGTCGGACCGGGTCGGGCGCTACGCCGCTTGCCTTGCCGGACCGGTTTTGATTGATGGCCGTTCCGCTTAAACCGCGACGCGCGTCGTTTGCGAACCAAATGCGGGCTTTGCCTGCTTCGCCATCGTTGCAAGAGGGGCCCGCCTGTGGTCTCTCTCAACGGGTGTCCCGCCAGATCTCCGACCGCAACGCAGGAGCTCCTTACGCCGTGGCTCTCCCACTCGTCTTGCGGCCTCTCGTGGGGCCTCCGCGGGGCGACTACATTGAATCTCCCCCCGAATGCGGACCCCCTCTTTTTTGCAAGGGAGGTGCACTGACAGACCAGGTGCACTGCCAGGCAGGAAGTGGTGGGATATAGTTCAAAATAAAAGACAACGGGAATCGGTGGCGGTATAGATTTGAAAATAAAGGCAAATACGGTTTCAGACCAACTTGTAAAACAAGCGCTTACGACCGGTACTCATTTTTTCTTTCTTTTTGTGACTATTAGGCATTAACTATACTGGCTGCTACATAAATGATAAAAACCACAGCATATAAAATCGCAATTTATCAATCAACGAAGTGTCTGCTTCATGGGTTTTGTACTGCACCGTTTGTTTGGGCTGGGTGACAGCCCTTCGGTGAATTAGGACACACCTGCACACTTGTATCCTCGACGGTAATGCGCAATTGAGGGGCAACAAGCTTGGAAGTGCGAGGTACGTCATAGACAGACGTTACGGGGAAATGATACTTGTTACATTGAATTTATTTGAAGGTATGTCAAAATGTTGCATTTTAAAAATTGTTTTTGAAAAAGCTTTTTCCGGTCTGGCAATTAACCCGTCGAAAAGTCAATCGATCCAGCGGAAGTTAGTCTCACAGTGCATCTCTTTCAGCCAAACATCTCGGAACGTATTATGTTTTTGGAAAATAAATAAAAAGTAAGAACTCGTCTACAGGCTTTCATCTTGGTGGTCTGTTTACGCCTGCTGTTTTTAGAATTAAGATTTTTGTGGGGGATTAAAGAAGTCATGTACAGACCTCTGCATATTCGCAATTTAGCGTTCAGCAATTCAACTAATACAATTTTGCCTCACTAGTAAGACGTAGTCGTCTTACTAGTTTGCAGAAATGTGAAAACTGCGTTCCAAGTAAGATGACGTACACACGGTAAAACGTGAAGCCGAAGGAATGTTTTATTGTGAAATATCTGGTTTAACTTTTGGTTTCGTCATTGCTAACTTGACGGACAAAATGGCAGATTGAGATGCTCTGCTTCCATCTGCTGGCCGATTTGAGTACTGACAGCTCAGCACAGTTTTGGAATTTTCTGAACTGACGATTCCATTCATTCTGAGTTTTTTTTTTTATTCGTCATATTTTCAAGTAATCCATTAAAAAACACCGTACACATAAAAATCATTTATTCAACGATTTGACATTTTTTAAATGGTTTTAAAGTCAATTTGTGGCCATTAAAACGAGCATGGTATAAAAAAAAACAATGGCAGACAATAACAAGAAAGTTGTGACATCATCTGCTCTTTTTGTGAGCGCATGTGCGGAGTTGGGTTGCATCAGGAATAGCGCGTCCACCTGCTGAGGATCACTGAAGAGCAGTGACAGAACACTCAGGATGGATGGATGGATGGACGGACGGACAGACAGATGATGATCCTTCCTGTATTTTGCTGATCTCCCACTCTTTATTTTCCCCTCATTTGCATAAACAAGAGCCAAAAATGTGTCAACAACATGTGCTGAAGTAGCCGAGGCTCGTCATGATTTATTCTTCCACTTTCTTCCCCACTGTGGCGGTGGTGTCAGTGCAGGTCAGATGTCAGGCCTGGGCCGGTGCCAGCACATTCTTACTGGACCAGACGCTTTATCTCACCGTCCGCTGGCTCATATAAAGGCACACATTGTCTGAGGGGGTCCACTGTCCCGGGCCGTTCAACTCCGAGAGGACTCCAGAGGCACCCTTGTTCAATGTAAGGACTCAATTTTTTTGGGAGGGGATGTGGTGGTTAATATTTTGTGAATTATGCATGACTGATGCTGGATATCAGAGATATACAAACATATATATTTTTTAAACTAACATGCTAAAACCAAATTCAATGTGCGGTAGGTCAACATTCGAGTGCAGTTAAATATATTTAATGTTAGTTTGCGACTCCACTTTCAAATCAAAGTAATGACGGTTGCCCCATCCTTATTCATACCTCATTCCGTTATTGTTTTTTTTTTTTAGATGCAGAGCAGAACAGCAATCAATGCCAAGTGGGATAAGGTGAGTATTCACGCACCGCTAATTCTCCATTTCAGGGAAAAGGGGACACGGCGTCGTTGTTGTGGACATACGTCAAATTACTTGTTTGAGCTAATCTGCCCCCAGCCCTAACAGCCCCCTCCCCGTTGTTATCAGCATCCACATGAGCGTACAGCCTATTAATACAACTTTTTATCTTTTCACATGCCAGTCGACTTGCAGTTCAGCATGTGTGGTTTGGCCATATATGACATGGGCTGCTGTTAGAAGTGCTGGTTAGCAAAAAAGGGGCACGTAAAACTGACAGCAAATCGCTAGTGTTCAAGTGTTTCTTTAGATGTATATGTTATTCTTCATAATTTGCATCATTACTAATATTTGTTTATGACAATATATGATTTTTGTACAGCCGAAGTCAAAGATCACGGCTTCCCGCAAGCTCTCCTTAAAGGTGAGTCCTTTGCCTTAAGACGACATCGGGACCTTTTGATTGACGTGCCCTTCCGTCCAATCAGATGCTGCTCCTGACGAGAGCTTGCGAGGATCTGGAGAACGAGAGGCTGGAGCGAGAGGAGGAGAAAGTGCGCTACCTGGAGGAGAAGCTGCCTCCTCTGCAGCTCTCCGGGTTGTCGCTGGACGAGCTTCAGGTACGTCGGGGGGGGGGATAAAAGACCCAAAGAACCGTCTTGAAATTGTTCCCGCCTCCTCAGGACCTGTGCAAGCAGCTGCACGCCAAGATCGACGTGGTGGATGAGGAGAGATACGACTGTGAATACAAAGTCGGCAAGCACAACATAGACGTGAGTTTCATTTTTTTTTCCGGGTCTGGTGTCTAGTTGTAATTTACAAAGAATAAAATAGGCAGGAATCCACGAATTGCTTCGTGAAATGCTAATGCCACCTAGTGGCAGAAAAAATTAGCTTGACACAAATCTATGACTCAGCGTTCAAACAACTTTATGAATTACTATACTATACTGACTGTCGTATAGATCCGTGAGCTGAAACTGAAGGTGCAGGACCTGGGGGGCAAGTTCAAAAAGCCCGCCCTGAGGAAGGTGAGGGTGTCCGCCGACGAGATGATGAGGGCCCTCCTGGGCTCCAAGCACAAAGGCTCCATGGACCTCCGCGCCAACCTCAAGTCGGTCAAGAAGGAAGATGTCAAACAGGATAAGGTATGCCCCCCCCCCCCCGCACTCCAATGATCCCTCGCACATTCACATTACGAATCTCCCTCTTCCCCGTCCAGGTGCTCACGAGCGAAGTGGGCGACTGGCGTAAGAACGTGGAAGCCATGTCGGGTATGGAGGGCCGCAAGAAGATGTTTGACACCGGCGGCGCCGCCCAGTGAGGATGATTCCCAAGATGGGGTCCTGAGGTGGAAAATGTAGGAATTAGCCTTCATGTTTGATGGACACTTTTTAAACTCACAACGAAATTTCAACTTGACACAGGTTCCCTTTTGTATTGTTCATTGGCCAGTTAAAAGGGAAATAAATTCTTTTTTTTTGTCATTTGAAAGAGAGTTCATCATGTTTTATGTGCAACCTTCCAAGAGCCACACATTTACATTTCAAAGCAAATATATATATATATATATATATATATATATATATTTTATATCAACTGCATTTTTCTCTGCTGTGAGGCCCCGGACGCAGATGATGAGCACCTGGGCTGCGTATTTTTAGCCGCTGACTTTGTCTTTGGAAGGCACCATACATTACACGCATGTTTCCCCATCTCCGTGCTCACCGGGTTGGCTGGCTTTTGTCCATACAGCCTTCGTCATCCCAAGTATGACGGCCACATCGGCAGTAGCCTTTGGATATCCGCTTACGAAGCATCCCAGCATCTCCTCGTAAAAGGATGGATGAGGGGGGACGCTCGCGTCCCGTCTGCCCTTGTGTGTTACCCCTCGCTAAGCCGGTCATGACAGTCTCTCCTATAAATAAGTACAGCTGTCACATAGAACAAATGCTCCAGATGTGCAAAACACAAATGGTGCCGTGCTGGAGGCTCATCCAGAGATGACGGACGCATGCCAAGCGTGGCAAAAGCGAGGCTATTCTCAATGAGCCACTAGATGGCAGCAGAGATCCACGCGAGTCTGAATTGAGAGGTAGCCTACAAATCAAACTCTTGATTATCATCTTTTCATGAGAAACAAAGCGTCTATTCACCGTTGCAAGGGGCTGACAATACTGCAAGCGGGGTGGTGGGCAACTGCTGATTAGAACCCCCGTGACTGGACGCCTCGGGCTCAGTTTATGTACAGATAATGTTGTGTTTGCGGCGGCCACGTGCTCTGTCAAAATACCCTCTTAGGCTGCAGGGTGATTTTTTTTTCTTCCGTAAAGTATTTATGATATCCTCCATTCCGTCGGCCATGGCCTGCCGACGGCCAATGTGCGATACATAAATCACAAGAGTCTCTGTGAGCCAAGGAGCGACATGAAAGCATGAATCCCAACTCAATTTGACCTTTGAATGTGATCGCAGTAGCCTGGTAACTCATGTTGTTGTTGTTGTTGTTTTTTTTTTTTTTATGCCCAAGACAAACAACGATTTGTGTAAAACCAGTCCGTGTCAGCAAGGCATCCGTAATCGGAGTCGGTGATTAATAGTCCCTTTGCTTAAGGTCTGACCTTGCGGAGCTGATTTATTCGGGTTTGACGGCGACTCCTCAAACTTTGCTGCCACGCTCCGCCCACACGGTATGACGAAAATCCCAATTCTTGACATTTTAGCACCGTCCATCTGTCTATTATGGTTTAAAAATTCGAAGCAGTCGATCAATTTTGAAAGGGCACTGCTTCAAAGCAAAATGGCAGCCTCCCCTGGTGTGGAGCTTTTTTTAATTTTTTTTTTTTTTATGGGTCTCCTCATGATAGACAAGTCTACCAAATTTCATGTTGCTCAGCGAAACTGGCTTTGCGGTCTGAATTATCAAATAATTCTGTGGGTGGGCCCTCTCCTGTTAGACTCAGCCTAAAATTGTGCTGGCTCCCTCTAGTGGTGAGTGAAAAAAATATCACTGGCAAAAATGCAGTGGGTTGTATTTAACTTATGAGTACATTTGAATGTGATCTTTAGAAACAGTTTCAAATTTGATTCAACTCATATGTGCAATCTTAATTGAATTATTATTGAAGTAGTAAAAAATACTACATTTAAGTGGAGTTTTAATGTTATAATAATAATAAATACGCCACTGTATATTAATGTTGCTCATGTAGAGCTAAGTATGTATATATATTTTTTGTAAATGCCGGATTAGTTGGTCCATTTTTTTTTACATGCTTCAGCGTTTGTTTTGCATGTAAAAGAAAGCTCCACGGGGATTAATACTGTGTATGATTGTTATTGAAATGCATTCAAGCAGGTCATGCAAATGCAGAAATAACAGAAATGGGTCAAAATGGTGATTCCCCCACTCTTCCCCTGCGCGCCTACGCCGTGACGTCATTGGTCGCCCATGACCACTCCCCCTCACTCCACCGATGCCGACACTCCCACCCCCCACCCCCCACCCCGCCACCATCCTTGCCCATCCGAGAAAGAGCGAGACGACACAATCCCAGCGTCAGTCTCCCGGATCTGCCTCCTCCTCCGTCGACGCAGCCGAAAGAGAGCGCCGGCACCGTGGCCGCACCTCCCCCCCGCCGCCAGTGATGGAGAGCCTGCTGGATAACCCCATGAAAGCCGTGCTGTACCTCAAGGAGCTCACCACCATCGTGCAGAATCAGCAGAGCCTCATCCAGACGCAGCGGCAGCGCATCGACGAGCTGGAGCGCAAGGTGGAGGACCTGATCGGCGAGAACCGACAACTGCGGGACCCCCATCAGTACGTGCAGCATCAGCACCGTCACCACCACCACCCGACGCCCCAACCTCAGCCGCAGCCGCCGGCCTCCCAGCCGCACGCCCACCCGCATCAGCACCACCCCCCGGCTGCGAGCGGCCAGCATCAGCATCACCATCAGCAGCAGCGTTCCTCCTCCCCTCCTCCTGCGGCTCCTCCCGCCGCGACCCCCGCGCCGGCGCCGCACCATCACCACCACCACCACCACCACCCGCAGCATCTGCAGCTGGTGCCCGCCGCCTCGCAACCGAGCCCGCAAGCCGGACAGGCCAGCCCGGAGACGGCCGAGGAGGGGAAGAGGAGCCCCTGCTGCAAGTCGCTGATCCCGCAGACCCCCACCACCACGCTGTGCCGCTCTGTGGGACTGGCCAGGAAGGCGGAGTGAGTACAATGCAAGCGTTGTAGGAACAGTTTCAAATGACCTTCGCACTTTGACCTATCAAACTCAAACTAATGCACTCAAAAATAAATAACACCACATGACAAGTTAAAGCCTCGTTCCAAACGTCCGACCTGTGCAGTGGCGTCGGTCAGCCCGGCTGTCCGCGGCTTAATCAATGAATGCTTAATGGCGATTGATTTTTAAGACCACGGCCGGATTTTTTTTTTCTTGATTGCAGCTAAATGAGTGCAATCGAAGTGCCTTTTCACACATGATTCAGCATTTTCACACTCATAATCCGTCATTCTTGTCAGATTATTATCACGTATGGCCTTCATGTCATCGGTGACACAAACCGTGCGTCCAAATATGGTCAGTTTCATATTTCTGACAAATCATTACCTGTGGTCTGGTCCCACGTCGTTTGTAACTTTGTGACCCTTTTTAAAGTGTCAAAACTAACTCGAGAACAAATCGATTCGCTGTCACGGACACTCGAACAAAGACGTGTTGTAAAACTCCGCCCCTTGCTCACTCTGCGAGAGCCGTGCAGCATTATGACGCCTGTAGATTGAAAATCTTTTTTGGACAATCATGAGCGATCAAAAGTTTTGAGAGAGCCTGTTTTGGGAAAAATGGATTGCTGTCAATTTTGAATCAATTTAAAATCAATGTTAAAATGTGACAACAGCATTTTTGTTTTGGTACATGGACGCAATCGTGGCAAGGGTAAGCACGAGTATGGCGTCAAATCCACGTCAGAGCTTGTTTGCCCGCCGCCGTGCACTCAAGGTCACCAGCTTGGCCGCCGAGCTCCATCTGCTCCCCTCGGCTGCATTGTTTGATCATCCTGATTGATTCACGAAGACGTGATTCCGCAAACGTGTACCGTCGCGGATCGCGAGGGAAATGAAGCAAAGGCTGAGACGCGGATGCGAGTTGACGAGCGAGGTAATCGTGGTTGAACTTTAGATGACATCACATAAGCGAGCACCAACAGGAGCCCGGGTGACATTTGACGGGCCAAGCGGGATATAAACAACAAGGTTACTCCGGCAACCGAAGCCGGGATGACTTTGAGGGGTTGTGTTTGGGAGAAGATCACCCAGATGTGTCACGCAGATGCAACCTGGGTGGAAAGGAATTGGATTTTTTTTGACAGACGCCTCAACCTGACATCAATCCTCAGGACGGTGCGGGATCGGCTCATCGCCGGGATTTATTTATTTTTTCTCTTGCTCATTTGCTTGATTTTCTTGCTCATTTTCTTGATTAAAAAAAAAAAAAAAAAAAAAAGGAGAGGGCGAGTAATCTATTTGCCAGGCAGTAAATGAAAAATGAAATGCTCGTGCACGTCATACACCTTCCTCATCTCACGCTTTGATGAAGGCAACTCGCGAGGGACTACGGCCTCCTCAAAAATCAACCCCCCCCCCACAAAAAATGGGACCGTGCGGAAAATAGCGCTCAATATGATTGTACTTCATAAGCAAAAATAAGGAAATAATGGTGATATGAATATAGACTGTAAAAGTTTATCTGGCATGCTGATTTGGCCACAAGAGGGCAGCATAGTTGAGACAAATAAAGACGAGTTTCACCTCTAAAGTGACTCAGGAAGTGATTTTATGTTCAGTTTAACAGTTAACTTCAACTCCGGGTGGGGGTGGGGGGGCATTAAACAAGTCAAAGTCTCTTTTTTTTTGGAGTGTGTGTTCTTCCAATGCCAAATCCATCAAACGTACCTGAGCCACCTGCCAGCCGGCATTTTATTCCCTCCCCCCGAGGCCTCCGTTTCCTTGCAAGCATGTCATCTCGCAGGCCTCTGCTCCCTCGCCAGTCCCCTCAAGGACCAAAGTGGAGAGATGCGTGGCAATTAGAGACGGCGAAAACAACAGCGCGTCGTGCATACTGAGCGGCCCCGCTGAGTTCCTGCTGCTGGATCCTGCCGGGTCTTCTTGTTCCGAGTCACTTTAGATCAAGACCGGCGTGTCAGTCATATTCATGGGCGCTTTTGGTATGATGTGGTATTATGGGGCCACTCTGAAAAAAAAAACAAGTACCAAAAAATACAGTGAAATAAAATCCACAATGTTATTGGATAATATTTTCTCAAAATCTTAAATTTAATGGCAAAAAATGGGGAGGGAAATGTACACATATTGTAAGACTCAAGTTGCTCTGAAAAACAAAAAAACAGCTTTCTAACTTCAAGAATAGAGTTGTGATTTTAAAGACATCAGATAATCCCCCCCCGCCCCCAAAAATAAAATCTTACATTATGGAGAAAAAAAGATTTGCACATATTTAATGGAAATTTTAATACATCAAAAAGGAAATGTAAAGATATTTTAAAAGACTGAGTGTCAAATAATTATTCGTTTTCCTTTTTTGAGAAAAAAGATGTACATTGTTCCCCAAAAGTCATGTTGTCTCCCAAAAAAAAAGTTGTACATTTTGCAAAAAAAAAAAAAAAAAAAATCACCCGTTTATCTGAATAAAAGACACAAATACTTGGTTTATTCAAGCGCCACAAATTTCCCAATCAGCCAATCGCAGCCCTCCAATCATGACATAAAATGACTTTGCTCGGTTTGTTTGCGACCTGGACGTCGTCATGCCTCAAAGGAATGAAGGCAAGTTGTGTGTAAAAATCAATAGTGTTCTGCTTTTTTTCCCGTAAAACACGAGCATGTACGGAGGTGTTGGAGGGGGACTGAGATAGATTGCCAGCTGATAGATGGGAAGGGTCCGGGGATGCGTGTGGAGTGTTCCAATCTATCCTCTCCATCTCTGCCTTCTCAGCATTAACACTCCAAAAGTCAAACGTTCATTTCTGCAAAGCTGCGCTTTTATCTGAGGGTCCCCTCCCTCCTCCCTTCGGACGGAATGGGAATCACATCAGGGCTGCTGGTCATGACCGGGGTGACTGAGCGCCGCTGGAATCCAAATCACACATTATCACATGCGGGTGCTTTGAAATTGCTTCCATTTTCAGCTGTGTGGACAAAGGCCGCCGGCGGGATGTGAGCAAGTTGGGCCAAGACATCCCCGGGCCAGCTCTATTAATGAAACGTCCCGTAGAACGGCGTGACTCACAGTGATCACCGGATCGGTAAAAGCGTGCCTTCTCCGGAACAATCCTTGAATTGGATGGGAAAACAGCTCCCCCCCCCCCCCAACCTCCTCCCATCTGTCGTGGAGATTTTACTCCCTGGAAGCTTAGCGTTGGAAATCCCTTGGACAATTCCGTTGTTTTGCATCCAATTAACTGAGGAAAACATGCAATCGCAATTCCTCAACTGACACATTGAAGTCGAGCGGCGGAGACAACTGCTGGCAAGCCGTCCTCATCCTCGGAGAAGGAGATTTGCCCGGGAAACGTCGGAATGCTTCAGAGAGAAATGACTCATTTTTCTCTTTACAAAGCTGCGCGGCTCAAATTCAGAGCAGTCAGCAATTTTTAAAGTTCATCGACCTGACAATGGGAATGCACATAACCACACCCTTCATTAGTAGACAGACAATGTAAACATACTTGCAGGCATCTGTTCTTTATCTTCCGCAAAGAATGACTAATTTTACAGTAGCTAAGATGTACACATTGTTTGTGCGTTATAGCGGCGCAAGTGGCCCGAGGAAAGGTCAGGTATGGTTAGCTCCACCAAGGAGCGCTATGCTCTTTGCTGTCTACCTCGGGCCTTCCTAGGGCGACAGAGGCAAGCAAAACAGGCATGTCGAGTCTAATCAACCTCTGATGCATCAACATTGATTTGTTTTAATTGGATTGAACGTGACCAAAAACAAAGAGAGGATGCAACTAATTAGCTCGCTGGACTGATCATTATCTCTCCTTAGGATCTTTTGCCTTGGCTACAGTACATAGGCTGAGTTAGCCATCCTTCAAAATCAACAGTCAGATAAATAATCCCCAAGTGGGCAAGAATTGCATTCCCCAAACTTCACTGCAATAAATCAGTGCCTGTCCGTGGACGGCGAATGAACTCCAAGAAGTAGTCTGGTCCATTCCCCGAGCTCCCCACGCTCTGGCTTTCTTTAAATGTCAGTTCTGTTTCTCTTCGCTCTTGAAAAAGTCTTTCAAGTTTTTATTTTCCTGTGAGAGGGGAGTTGGGTTGCTGAGGAGAGTAAAAAATTTGGACTGAGGATGCTTGTTTGATGTTGAGGGTGATGACATGATGTGCTACGATTTTTTTTAACTTCATAAAAAAATAATAAATGATTAGATGTTTTAAAATACTTTTTTTTGTTAAATAGGAATCTAAATTTTCGGGATAAGGGGAATGTTTCAAATTCTGAATAGTTCGTGGTTTGATTGGTAATGCCTCATGTAAGCATTTTCAAGTATAAAACAAAGGACTAATAAATCTTGCAACAAACATAATTTACCATTGTTCTGACTTCATTTAAGAGCATGAAAGATATTTTCGCCTTTTACACACATGTTTATTGACGAGTGTATTTGTTTACAGAGTAGGCTAGCTGCTAATGCTTAATTGACATGAGTGGGATAACGTCCTGTGTCATCACAAATATTTGTAAATTGACTTGACTTTGATTTAAATAAAAATAAACATTTGTAAATAAACTGCTTGCTAATTTTCAATGTTTGTCACTTTGGCTTCTTATTTTTTAAATAATATTATTGTGTATTATTTTTAAAAATTATAATTAAGGAGCATTGATAGATTTGTAATGTCTGCCTTGCAACCCGGAAGTCGGAAGTGCGCCTCTGCGCTCACATCCGCCGTATCAGGTATTTTCTCTTCGTCTCGCATTTATAAAACCTGTAACATACGTTTATTGTTTTATTGTGGTTGAAGTTTAATGTAATTGTATTCAATATTTTTCCACATTGGATAGTGGTTTAATCGAATAATTCGTCACGACTCGTAGGCTAGCTGCTAAAGACGCTGACTAACGGAAATGCTAATTAAAACGTCAATTAAAATGCTAAACTGCGAGCCAAATCCTTAGTATTTTTATGTGACCGCCCCCTTATTTTTTTTTTTTAGTTCCATAAGACAACTAAAGTCGAAAAAGTATGAGTTGAAACCAAGCTCTATCATTTTTGTACAATGCATTTCCTATTTTAGAGTTCAATAGAATCGTGTGCTCTGTCTAGGATAACTGTGCCGACCTTGAACCCTTTTCTTTCTTTCTTTCTTTTTTAAGGACAAAAGACACATATTTCTAGCGCTTTTAAGCTTGCTCTTTGTCCATCAGACTCAGTCTCTTGAGAGCAAAGCACTGACGCAAAGCTTTCAAGTCTTTTTTAAGATGTCTCTATTTGTGTGTGTGTGTGTGTGTGTGTGTGTGTGTGTGTGTGTGTGTGTGTGTGTGTTGCTATTAGGATGAATTGAGAGATGTCTTTGGAAGGCCTGGCGCAATCCCCCGACACATACCTGCCCCACCGCCATGTATTTCTCTCCCTTTCCCTTTTGGCACATCCTCATTCATTAGGCAGCACTATTTAACCAGATTCTCATCAGCGGAATTGACATCTGAGAAGCGAATGACGTGTAACAACCGCGCTAATTGCCTTTCAGAGGTCGAACTGACACAAACATGGCACTAAATGTCATTCTCACCCTGCTTTTTCTGTTCTGTGTGTGTGTGTGTGTGTGTGTGTGTGTGTGTGTGTGTGCTGTGTCACCGTTTAGGGGCCTCATGAGCGGAGAAAATGGTGGCTATTGATACAGCAGCGAGGCACGCGGAAACACATTAGTTACGGGAGGTTAAAGCAACGCAGTGGGAGCGAGCTGCTCAGATTAGACCCCCCACGTCCTCTCTCCTCCTCTGAATACATGACTGAGTTTTGAGGTTTCTCTGTCCAGGCGGTATTAGCCAGTTTTGGCCGGCAGGAGAAACGAGGAGGGACAGGAAGCGGGGTCGCACAAGTTCAATTTAATCTTGGGAAGGCTGCATTGATCAAGCATGTGTGTGTGTGTGTGTGTGTGTGTGTGTAGAGAGGGAAATGTGTCTTTGCATAGATATAGACGTTATGCAAATGTGTAGAATATGAAACACTTACAGAATGCATACTTTTGTAGGTTGTACAGCAAATCCTCCAACGTTCAAACACAACTTTGGACCAAAATGTTTCCATCGCAAAGATGCTTTAAGTGGCATTTTAGGGTTGAAACGATGAATCGAATAACTGAAATAATTTGGGGGGAAAATGTGTAACTGAAATTTCTGCCTTGAAGCTTCACAAGAATCACTTGTTTCATTTCCCCCCCCCCCATCCCACACGTACTAATTACTGCATGACAGTCTCATTTTCTGACACCCACGTCACTCACCGGACCAGGCCACATCTTTGCATTTTCTTTGTAAGATTAATTAGTGTATGTAATGTATATTTCTTGCCCAAGTTGTCAACTTCAAGTTGAACCTAAAGATTTTCTCAAAGATAAGACTGGCGGTCCAAAGTATCACAATAATCCCCAAACCGAAAAGTGTCTAGACTGTTTGTAAATTGAAGGGTGTTGCTGCTATTCCACCACTGGCAACAACCTTTATTTATCTTCTTTGGATAAGACAAAACGTCCCAGTAGCTCATTCTCTTTTGTTCTTCTCGTCTCTGCGAAAAGCAGAAAGTCTTTGTGTCTGTCACCATGGCGACGCCGTCCCGTCTCCCTCGTCTGAATCCTCGTTTCTGCTCTCTTTTATTTACCCAGCAACCAAACGGTGCTCCATCAGTTCTGCTGCCCGGCCCCGGAGGCTCCCGAGGGCGAGACCTCGTCCGCCTGTGTCCCCAGGTAAGACGCTTGTGTTGCCCTCGCACCACGCGTGGAGAAATGAACCGTGTCTTAGATGTACTCGCAACTAGTTGCCATGTTTGGAAAATGACACAACTACCCCCGGGTACTCTGCTTAAGTGGTTTGTTTATTTTTTTTTTAACTGAGTGATTCATCTGTCCAAAAAGCATCGATCACAATTGAGCCCCCGCTGCACCAAAATGCTTTTTTTTTTTTTTTTCCAACTCCTTTTCTCTGCCTTGTCAGAGCTAGCCGGTAGGCTAATGCTGGCTTATCATGACAAGCATCCGCCCTGAAACGATATGAACCGCTTATCGAGATCAAACTTGCAAACCACCTCAAAGCAGGACTTTCCCCGGGCCAAGTCCTTTTTTTGTTGTTGTTGTTTTATGATCATATCTTGTCCCCCTCCCTCTTTCTTCCAAATGCTGTTTTATTGTTGATTTCCGCCTTGTTGTCCGTGATTTCACGCATCATCACAACCCCCCCACTCGCTCCCACTCGCTCCTCCCTCCCACACACACACTCCCAAAGCGCCGCACCTCATCTCGTCCATGATGCGTCCATGCTCATGCCATGCGGGCCTTTTGTCTGTCCACTGTGGTCACGTTGAGTGTACGATTTATTGTTATTTTTCAACCACCACAAATAATATTTGTGCAGTGGGGGGGTGGGAGTGGCCATTGATGTGTGTGCTGTGTGTGTGTGTTTGTAGGGCGGGGTCTCATGCTGGAAAGTGGTGGTGAGCACATGTAATGCATCTGTGTTCATGTGGAGGCACAGAAAAAAAAATGTTGCATGCTTTTTTTGCTTGGCAGTGGTTAGAATGTAGCTCCTTGTCTTTTGTGTGCGTCAGTGGATGTGACATACTTGACATACCGGGAAGATAAAGTACTTTTCAAATGTTCTTCTGTGTTTTCCGCCCTCACAGATATAGTCACACGTTCACCAAGTTCAGAAATGTTGCTGTGATTTTATTTTATTTTTTTAAACGTCTTAATCAAAATCCTTGTCGAACGGTCATCAGGAAGTCTTATTTCACGCACACAATTCATGGCTTCAATATTCAATACAAATAAGATCGGGGAACAATTTGAAAAAAATGAATTTTAATGCTGATTAAAACTAAAAGGTCCTCTCCCCAACCCTCCGTCAGCCAATCAAGAGTGAGGATGTGGCCATCTTTCTCATGGGCTCGTCCAGTCAGCTGTTTAAAAATGGCCTCAGGGAGCCGCGTTGGCCTGAATTCGTATTGAAACCCTCAGCATTGAGTCACTCTTAATTAGTCAGCTTATGAGCAGCCCGAGGCTCGCTTTGACCAACCCACACATTTCATCGCCGGCATCAGAAAGGTGCTCATCACATCTGAAGGTTTCTCTTCCCTCTCCATTCCGCAGCTTATCTCCACCTTGTTACGTGAGCCCCAAAAGGAGGAGGGGCGGTGGGTTTGAACACAGAAGAGATTTCATAAAAGCGAAACGTTTTGATGACTTTGCGGCAGCATCTCCCGCGTGCGTGCGCTGCATCTTCCCTGCCTCCGAATCAGCAGTTTTAACCTTTTTGCTGCCTCAACTCGTGTCGCGCTTTACAGCAATTTTTTTCATAGTTTGCAAGATTAAAAAGCAAGAATCGATTTGGGACACATTGTGCCATGTTGTGTCTGATTTGTATTTTTTTTAAGTCTCCCTATATGTTATGTATTCTAAAAAATTGTACAGTCACAAACATTCTGCAAATTTCCCCCCTCACTCGTGCTAATCCTTTCAATTCTCCCTCCAGCACTGTTGAATAGGAAACACTATCATGTGCGGGCTCCGCTGTAATAGCTTTGCAAAAAAATGCTTTAATAAAGCCAAATGCAGCTCAGGGGCTCTTCCTTGTGCTGCCAGGCTGCAGAATAAACACATCAGTCCCGTTGACTGTCTTCTGGGATGATACTCTGCACGCCGCACAGCATAGACAACAGTTACGGCCGAAGCCAGTGTCATTACGTGGCGTCTTATTCGTCTCTCGGGGGTACTCGGAACAATTGCGCAGGCACCGTCAATGCCTCAGCGACGCTGCCGCGGTACAATACCCCGGGTGCGAGGGTGAACGTTTTGTGCATGCGAGGGAGAAGAAAGCAACCACAAAAGAAAGTTTTGTTCTTTTCAAGTGCCCGCAGAGCCACAATTGCTGCGCTCTGAGGGTGCCAATTAGGTGACCACCCGCATTTTGAATAGCCGAGCATTTGGAGACCTCGCCTGTTGACGGAGCGGTAAAACCTGAAAATGTCGCAGAGAGGAGACCTTTTTAATGACGTACAAATGATCCATACAATCTCTCGGTGCTTCTTATTTGGCTTTACAAGATTTTTTGTTTGTTTGTTTTTGCAGGAAAATCAGACGCCTTCTACCCATTTAGCTTTGTGATTCCTCACGTTGTCCTTTTTAGCCCCAAAGTATACGTACGTCGTCTGAAGCTACAGCCGGGCCTGAAATGGTAGTTCGGGGAGAAAAAAAAACAAGCGCTGACAAGGCGTTATTCGGCTATAATGAGTCGGAGGAGGAGTGTGCCGTTGAGATCACAGAAGTGAAGAGAAATGGGGCTGCAATGAGTAATGGAGTAATTTGATTGCAAAAGGAGCAAAATCTCTGCCTCGAATCTTTGATGAAGATAAAAGTACAATGTGTACCACAACTGCAAGTCCACGTTCCCCAACACAAAAGAACGTATTGATTTTCGTTTATTTAATGAGGCGTACCGCCGCTCGACCGTATCCTGCTGCGCCCTCAATCCTTTTATTGAGTAAAACAAACACATCGTAAGCACCTTGGTACTCCCCATTGATTCACTCAGCACGTTAACAGCCAACTCTACGTTCTCATTCACTGACACCCATGTCACTCACCAGCCCAGGCCCCACCTTCTAAAGCCATACACATGAAGTCACAGATACCACAGTAATAATGCGATACATAGGTTTTTTTTTCCCCACTACCCGATTAGTCAGTGGGGACAAAATATTAGCAACAGCTTTACATTGTGCTGCGCAATACGCTCTGTGTCCTTGTTCTTCCCAAAATAAATAAAAAGCGCCTGAGCGACACGAACATGCACCCTGTAACCTGATAACGTGGTACGCTGTCCACTGCAGTTACCGCTGTCCCCGAAAGGGTTTAAAAAAAAAAGCAGCCAGCGTCCTTTTTATTTTTTTCGTTGATTTTTTTTTTTGGGCCGTGTCACGCTTTTGACACCAAGTGCCTAACCGCAGCGCGTTTTTTTTTTTTTTCCCTGTGCTGAGTCATGCTTGCAGCATCACTCTGTCACTCCAGGTGTCGCCTCGGCTTTGGCTCATCCTGTCATCCCGAATTATCTGTTACGGACGCCAGGGAAGAAGAGCCGCAGTGGGAGGGGAAAATGTAAAAAGAATGAAAATGAATATTAATAGGACCAAAGCGAACGCAATGTGGGTAGGGGGCCACATGCTTGTTTGTTGGAGCCGTCCCCATGCAACCACTGTTGAAGCACGCGTTAGCCGGGAGCTTTAACTTGCAAGATGGGAATACCGAGCTCCAAGACGGTGGGGGGGGGTGACGGCGTACGCAGGTGCGCAAACAAAACAAAAAGCGCGAGCTTCCTGGTGCCCGAATAAATCTTATTTCTACCAGCTGGTGCGCGTACACAGCTGCGCTTTCTGGCGTTTTACTCGACAACAGGGAGAAATATGTACACAGATTAGGAACCTCCCCAGTCTTTTGCCGGCTATAGATTAAATCTTAAAACACAGATTCACTCTTATTTTTTTACGGCTACTTGGCTAAAGAGTGTTATTTACGAGGTCGCCCGAGCGAGTTATTGATCAGCGTCTCCGTCACGGAGCCATCGTTTTTAATGATTCATCGCACGAGATGGCCGCTGCTGATTTTCGCGCTCTGGGTTACCGTTTTTCTCGTTCTAAAAATCCGATGACCTACAGTGTTGGCTTTTCGGGAACGCAGTGTGTGCGTGGCTTTTTTTTTTTTTTTTACAAAAACAAGAGAGGTCGACAGCAGGTTAGGTGACTCATCGCCGGAATTGATGCTGCGAAGGGAAAAAAAATGTTTACCCTCGTGTACGCTCGAGGCACGATAAGGTCTTTGAGAAGACGCACAGATGAAGTAAGACAAAAACTTGGTGGCTTATTTCCTAGAAGTGCCTTCGGTAGAGGTCATTGTCGCACACATTTATCATTTGCCTTCTGCGACTGCCGCCACCCCGCTACCTTCGGTTCCGTGTCTTGTTTCAAAGCAAAGTGATAATACAATACCAGAGAGAGAGTGGAACAAGGACTACTTTCCTATCGGAGTCTATGAGTACGTTTTACTGCGGTCCGATGGAATGTTTTCCCGGCCTGGTTTTCTCCCCCTCGTCGATTGTGCGAACAGATGCGACGCGACGATTGTCGGCGCGCCGACCTTCCCGTTCTTGGCGCTTCAAACGGAGTCGAGGCCGGCCGGGCAAGTACGTCGCCATCTCTGAGCGTACGAGCAAAGAGATGCTTATGAATGCAGAAGCTTCCACTCTGCATGAGTCATTCGCAGCGAGGGGCAGGAGATACTGTACATACGATGGGGGATGGGAGAAGAGATTTAGTCCCAAGCGACAAGACGCAGCTTCAAAATAAACCCAATTCACGTCTCGGATCAAAGGCGATTGTATTGCAAGTCAGGCGCACAGAGGCCAGCGCGCTCGTCCGTCTTCGCCCTCATCGGCTCGCTCCGACACGCGGAGGCGCTAAATCTTCCTTCCGAGCGGCGGACGTGAAGGATGGACGACGGGCGGCTTGACAGCGCCCGTAAAGAGAATACGGGGCCGGGCAAAGCGAACGCTCGTGCTGACTTTCCAGCCGAGGCGTGTAAATAAGCACACATGTGGCGCATCTCGCTGCGGCCGCTTTCAGTTTGCACGCTCTGTGATTCATTTCGCCCCTTTCACGCTGGGCCCATCTGACCGGCCTTTATTATTATTTTTTTTTAAAGATTTTATTTATTCCCTGAGGAAAATGAGGTTGTCACGGCGGCAATATTCACAACACATAAACTAATACAGGAGCAGCCAACCAAGTGAAAAAGAAAATTGAAGGAAATTGAAATCTAAGCAAGAAAGAAAAAGAAGCCGAGAGGTGTTGCCTGGAACAGCATTATGTCATTAGAAGTTTCTCTCTCGCATAACAAGCCACTTAGAAAACGGCATGGCTTCATTTGGAAAAGACAGCAAGTCGACATATAGCAGGCTACCCTTTCAAAAAGACTTCTTTGGATCCCGCCCAACTCCACCGTGTCTATTTTTTGCTCACCTGCGGCTGAGCGAAGAAGCCACTTTATTTCACTCTCCATTATTCATCCCACGTACGTCTATTTTCGAAGGATCCCCGCTCCAGCCCATTACAGATACTTTCCTGCGCGAGCTAAAGCTCCGCCATGTGCGCTGACACCGAGAATGAGGGAAGCGGATGGGTTTCTGCCAGACGGGCACATTTCGACTCATCCAAACGAGGTGTCGTCCAAAGGTTCGGCGTTGGCCGACGAGCGTGTCGCCGGCAGGTCGCCCGCCATCTTGCGTCGTGATGTGCCAGCAGGCCGGCAGCACTCAGAGCAATCCGTGGGAGTCGTGTTCTGGCAACTGCGCTGTGTCAAAATAGTGACATTTCAGCGTGAGTTTCCCTTTTGCGGGGCGATTTGGGCGCCAAATCCAGCAAGGAGGTCAGGTGGAAAGCACTGAAAAAAAATGAGTACGCACAATATAGCGTTCGTGTTCAAACAACCGTATTGTCTGGGATCAACGTTAGGTTGTACTTTTTTTAATTTCTACAAGACTTCTAAAGTTGAGCATGCCCGTCCTGGTTTGTAATTTTGTGTGTGCGTGTCTCAACTGCCTGTCAGTTTCACCTTTCTTTTTTCCTGAAGATGTTGCTGCTCTATTTCTTTTCCATCCAACTTTTCGTGCGCCAACCTTGTGGGCTTTTTTTACAGCTGCGTCCTTTCCTCCACGTTGTCTCTTGTCTGTCAAGCACAGTCAAAATAATTTAAAAAAAAAATGACAGGGCCCCTCATCTTGCCACTTGCATCCCAGGAGAGAGAGAGAGAGAGAGAGAAGAGGTCATGGCGGATGCGGCAAGCCACCTCACTCTGCCTTTTCTCCTCCTTTCTGCAGCGATGACCTTTCTCCAGACCCGTCATTGGGGGAGGATGGGAAGGGAGGAGAGGGGGAGCTGCAGAGTGAGGCCCCGTCACAACCGCAGCCCCAACAAGAGGCGCCGCCAGCACCCGAGCGCGACCCGAGCCAGGCGCAGACGCAGCCCCCGCCTGAAACCGAACCCGGACCTGTGCCCCAGACGGAAGCCGAACCCGAGCCCGAAGCTCAATTTGATTCCCCGGCCGAGGAGGAGGCGCGGGAAACCGTGGAGCAAAAAGGGACGGATGAGGAGGAAGCGAAGGGAAAGCAGGATGTCGAGGATGCCCAGGAAGAGGCCGAAGTAGAAGAAGAAGAAGCGCAGGAGAAGGAAGAGAAGGAGGAGGAGGAGGAAGGTGAAGGAGCAAAAGGGAGCAGCACGGCGAGGAGAGCCAGCCTCCACCACACGGCGTCGCCCCTGAGGGTGCAACGCAACGGGGCCGGCTCGCACTCGGCCACCTCCGACTATGAGCTCTCGCTTGACCTCAAAAACAAGCAGGTAGGGGTGTGCTTGGGATGGGGCTATAACCTGGTGCGTGTGTAGAACCCCGGAGGTTTTTCTGTTCTTTTGGCGCCAGTGGACTGGCCAAATTGTTTCTGCTTCAACATCATCATCATCATCATCATCACCAGCATGGATCCCCATCATCCTTTTTTTTTTTTTTTTCCCCCACTACGATGTTGAATGCTTTAATGGATATTTTTTTTCAGAAGGATGGAAATTCTATAGTCTGCTCCCTGCCGCGTCGGGATCTCATGATTGTCTCCCCATCTTGCACTGTACTGATGAATGTCTCTGAAAATATGAATACACGTGCAAGCGCGCGCTGCCGCTCATGCCGTCTTGTCTTTCCATTCACGCTGTCATCCAATCGTCTCATCTCCATTTCCCGGACCCTCATCAGTCGTTTGCCTTGTATTGTTTTACGTCCGTCGACTAACCCAGCATCTCCGGAGATCTCCATGCAGGTAAGGAAATAGAATTAGAAAGTAGTTGCCTGCTTTACATCTTACTTTTGCTCCGAGGCAACTTCCTGTTTCCGGAGTAGAACGCTTGCCTTTTGGGGTTTTTTTTGCGCCGTCGTCACGACAAGAGAGATGTAAATTGCTTCCATCGACTTCCTGTCCGTGGAGAGAAGCATGCGCGGAATGGATGCGTCCTCCAATCAATGTTGGACGAATTAGAAGTGCGGGGGCGATACCTGATTATGATGCAGTTTGTGTGTACTTTGCGTAAACGCGTTTAAGATGATGCCTCAGCCATGTGGATCCGAAACAAAAGTAAAGAGGCAGTAAATATCCAATGGGGTCACAGGTCAAGTTCTTTGGAAGGCATCCTTGCTTGGCAAAGGCACAGCGTGACAGGTTGATGTTGAAAACTAAACATATCGCATTCTTTTTAGCCATGACACTCTGTTTTCCGAAGTAGTTACTGCCCCTCATCGTTGCCAAAGATTCATCGGCAAAACAATAACGTCAGCTGTTGTAATTATCGTCTCGGCTTGGCACGATGTGGTGTCGCGTCCCACTTCTTGCCGTTGCGTAATCAGCTCGTTAATCACGCAGCTGTTTTCTCCGCTTTGAGTCATTTGCACGAGCGCAAGCTAATGACCCCGGATGCGCGCTCGGTTCGGCGGTCCGTCTTGTGTGTGTCGTAACACCCAGTACTCGGGAGCGATGATTCATAGCCCAGTGTTTTGGTTGTTTTGTTAACACGGCTTGACCTCCGGTTGGACTCGAAACACTTGAAAACGAAGTCGCTTTATTCATCACGCCGCCCGTCACACCTGGCGCCCGGATAAGTCCTAACGAGTTGCGATGCATGGAAGGACTCGAGCTTTAAATGGTCCATCATCATCGTGAACTTCCCCCAACCTCGCTTTTCTTGCAATTATCTTCCCCCCAAGTGGCTTTGAAGTCTTTTGAAAATATTCACGTGTTCCTTTTATCCCCCCTCCGTATATGTACCCTGTTGAAAATGCGGTGTTTACTTCCCCCTTATAGCTTAGTTTACCGCGCTGGGTTCAATCCGCCCCTTCAAAATCGATTGAGCGAGGCCGGCCGGCGGCAACGGCGATCTGCAGATTAATCTCTCTCCATCAGCGCTTGGTGAAGTGATCAGGACTCCCAAGTGACTGCTCGCTACCGACGGGGAGGGGCTTTCCTACCCGTCATCTCGTCCTACGTTGTCCCCGCTGCGCTGTTCACGTGTCATTTCGTCGTCTGGCGGAATAGTCTTAATTTGCCGAGTCTAAATGCCGGGCTAGTTTTAATCCTCTTTGCTACCTTCCCGGTGGCTGTAATTCCGAGCGTGTCAGACAGGGACAAAGAGAGCAGTGCGCGTCCTCAAATGTTTTCTCCAGAATCCCTGACCTATCTTACGTTGAGGCACATTTAAAAACAATATTTTATTCCGTCAAGGGCACCTCCGAAGACTTTTAATATTTTCTTGAGTCACGGGCACCTCTCCAGAGGTGCTTAAGGGAGCTTTTACAAATAAAACAAAAAAACTTTGGGTTGCCGCATTTTGATGCCCGACGACTTCATTCAAGTATCACCGCGGTTAAAGACGACTCGAGCCTCTCTCAATGAATGAACCCTTTCACGCACCCTGTAATCTCACAACATGATAAGATGTCCACTGTCGTAACCGCTGACCCTGAAAGGGTTCAAAGGGGAAGAGTAATTTCGAGTCCAATCTGTCACACCATCAGCATTTCTGTCTCCCGAATGACACGTTCCTTCTGTTGTACGCAGCGGAAAAGTATCTTGAATGCGGTTATCTCGGCGCGCCGCCACGTCCTCCACTTGTAGCTCTAATGAGGTTTGGCGCAGCAACAGAAGTACACGAATCACCGTCCATTAAGTCTTAACAAGGGCAGGATTGGGAGGGGGGGAGGACTCAAAAGATGTGCTACGCACAATGTGACTTGCCAAGATAAGAGCTCGCACTCGGGTGTTTCCAGAGATACACAGGCCTTGATTGTTCCGGCGAAGAAAGGGAGGGGGGGGTTCCTTCAAGTGTTTGAGCGTCCGCCAGACAACGGCGCGGCGACGTGACGTCTATCGGTTTCCCACAGACGTCCAGCCATCTTTCACAGGCGAGATTAACGGGCGCGTTCGCTTTCAGACCCATTTAAAGGACCTCTCTGCGGACTTGACGGAGATTATGAGTTGTGTTTGCGGAGGAAATGAGCTGTGAGACGGCTGCGCGTTTGTTTTTCCGTGAGGCCTAAGCAAACTGTTGGGTGGAGATCAGTCCGACTCAACTGCGACTTCTCCATTTCCCCATTCATGTACCCCATCCACAGGGTGTCCTTCCCTTTTCCTGTTCAGCTCCATTCATCCTGACCTTTTTCTTTCTTGATATTCACCCTCAATGCCCCACCGAGACTCGATAACATCAGAGTAAGGATGTTCATCGTCGCGGTCCCCGTTCGGCCTCACTTGCAGGACACCACGATAGCTTGACGCGTACGACCTGTCCTCTGTTTTATCAGTCATTCATTTATCTCCTCTCTCTCCTTCTTTCCAGATCGAAATGCTAGAGCACAAATACGGAGGCCACCTCATTTCCCGCCGCGCCGCCTGTAAGATCCAGACCGCCTTCCGCCAGTACCAGCTCAGCAAGAACTTTGAGAAGATCCGCAACTCCCTGCTAGAGAGCCGCCTGCCACGCCGCATTTCCCTGCGCAAGGTGCGCGTGCAGAACACCGAGGGTTTCTCGGCTGAACGGGCCCTGGCAGAAGGCTGCAACTTGGCGGGCATCCCTCTGGTGCGGTCGCCGTCGTTGCCCGCCACGGTGGGCGGCAGCCTGACCGACCTGGAGGACTCCTTCACCGAGCAAGTCCAGTCCCTGGCAAAGTCCATCGACGACGCGCTCAGCAACTGGAGTCTGAAGACCATGTGCTCGCTACAAGAAGGCGGCACTTATCAGTTCAGTGCGGCAGCGGGCGGAGGAGACGGGTGCGTCGTCGGAGAGTCGTCCAATCATCAAGTCCCGTTGGACCCCAGCGACCTGTCCAAAAGCGCCAGCAAGCTCATGATGGCCTTCCGGGACGTGACGGTCCAGATCGACAGCCAGAACTTCCGCGTTTCGTCTTCCGTCATGGAGTCTGTCACCCTGGGCAACTGCGCCCAGCAAGAGGAAGCCGCAGCCATCGCAACGAACTCCACTCCTCAGTCTATCCCGCCTGAAGAACCACCAGCTCCCCCGTCCGCTGAGCCTATTGATCCCCCTCCACCCCCTCAAGAGCACCCGACTCCCCCAGAAATCGACTTATATGATCAGGATGTGGAGTTCCCCGCTCCCCCTCCCAGTGAGGAAGAGCTCAGCGGGGAGGACCTACCACCCTCAACCCCCTTGGACAAAATGGCTTCCCAGCAGGAGGCGACGGTGATGGCGCCGCCTCCCCCTGAGCCCCCTAAACCTCCGCCACCTGTGTCCGAGCCGCTCGATCGTAGCGGCTCCGAGACGGCCGACAACAGCTCGGAGCAGATGAGCAGCAGCAGCGCGTCCACGGAGGTCCGCTCCACTTCGGAGGCCTCCTCCAAAGAGGCTCTGCAGGCCATGATCCTTAGCCTGCCGCGCTACCAGTGCGAGAATCCCGCCAGCTGCAAGTCTCCTACGCTGTCCACCGACGTCATGCGGAAACGCCTCTACCGCATTGGCCTCAACCTCTTCAATGTGTGAGTAAGACTTTTCAGCCGTCTGAAATTGAAACCGAAAACGATATGTGTACATTTTGCGCCATACTTGGTCAAAATAGGCTCATAACTTTTGTCAGTCTTCACGGATGACAAAGCGACATCAATCAAGACGTCAATCGAGAGAGGGAATGTCAACGGCGATTGAAAATTTTGGTGTGCTAATGAGTAAAAAACATGGGAGAAAAAAGAGTCACTTTGAGTTAAGTGCAGGTTTTGAATACTTCACTCTCCCCTGGTAACCACTGCTTCATGATTCTTAGTCAGAGAGCTATCCCACTTCTAAAAGAGCTCAAGCCCTTGCACGGATGGGAATGCGGCGCGGATTAGGGTCATGCAATCGTTCTTAGAAGTCCCTTAAAGTGTCTGCTGTCCGTTTCATTTCACATCGAAGACTGAAAGGGGAAGAAGGCAGCAGGCGGCCGGACGTGAAGACTCGTGACGGACGAGACCAAAGTGGTTTCTCGCGTGCCAACGATAGACCTGGGAGATGGGGTGTTGCCATGGCGACAAGAGTGCAAGGGGGGCTGAAGGCGGCGGAAGGCGCCCGCATGAAACGTGTCACGCTCCGTTGGACCGGAGGCAGTGAAGTTAGTTGCGTAACATGGCATTGCTCTGACTGGCCACTTCATTAGGTACGTCTTGCAATTCGACTGTAGCAAAAATCGATCTAGTTTACTACTAAACACCAGTGCAGTCTTCCCTCTTACAAAAAATGTTGCAGAAAAAAAAAAGTATGTCTATAAATGTACAGTAAATATTGATGAGTGGGACCCCATTAAAATACGTTAACGGTCATATTGGTTGTCTCACAAATCAAATCGGATTAAATTAGAGGTCAATCCGCAAACCGTATGCAAGAAGCTCAAGTGGTCATTAGCGATCATCGCTGTGCAATTCAGGATGTCATTTGAAACTCCTTCGGCGACACGTGGCTCATCACCTCCGGCTCGAAATGTCGTTAATGTCCCCCCCCCCCATCATGGGCTGTGGTGTTGTCACGGCAACATGTCTGTCAAAAGCTCCTTGTCGAGATGGATCCTCCGGGAGCCGCCGACAAGATTTCACAGCGATATTGCCCCAATTAAGACTCCTCACACAAATCTGGAAGAGGCAATAAAAAGCCGACCGTAAAGCCGATTAACTTGTGCTTCGCGAGCGTGACGCTCGGAACAAGAGGATGCGGGAGGAGGCAGGAGGAGTGTCATCAATATCAAAAGGTTTACACACTTCAGAATATTAACATTTTAAGTGCTATTTATGGGGGACAACACTGGCTTCTCCAAAATGTATATCACTGAGTCATTATGAAGTCATGATTGTTCTAAAAACATTTTCAACACTTTGAAACTTGAGGTGACTTAATTCCACCAAAATGGCAGCCGTTGCTCATGCTAGAGGTTTAGCATCTGAGCAATTTTCATTCGAGTAAAAGTCGTCTAGCAAACCATTCAGCTCACTCAGGGCATTTGTGCGGTCAGTCCTCGAGTATTTTTGTCTGTTGGTGTACCAGCTGTTAGCACGTTAGCATTTGATCAATTCTTCCATTAGAAATGACACTCGAACACAGGACAAGATGGCGCTTTTGTGACTTGATATCTTGCTCTCTGCTTCAAAGCAGAAAAAAAAGTTTTGCACGTATGAGATGGAGGCAGACAAAAAGATAGAGAGGCAGACAACGTTGAGCATTGATGCACTGACAATGGCGGCGGAAAGGCGGGGGATTGTCAAGGGCGATGAAGAGGCTGCTAGTAGGAGGCTGACGTTGGGGTGACAAATTGCGCTTCCCGTGCGACATCCACTGCTCCTTTAATTGACCTTTCCCCTCCACTCAAGCTGTGCTGATTCACCATCTGAGTGGGCAACGCCAAAAAACATCGCGATGACTCGCCATCAGATGATCATAACGCACGGAGTGCTTTGCAGAGTGCCGCTGTTGGCTTTCAGTCAATATCATGCGCTGTACATTTAAAGCACGTGAATCAACGCGAATGAACAAAATAGCCAGCAAGAGAGGATACCATTTTGTATTTTTTTTTTCCCCAAGCGTGTGTGTGTGTGTGTGTGT